AAGTTACCCACAGAACCAAGACAATAAATGATTTTTTAAATGAACTCGAGTCCACCTACACCTCCTCTCCCTCTTCCCGACCTGCAGTGAAGCGAAGAAGCCACCTTTACCAGATTTGAGATCTGATCCCATTGGCTGCATAAACTGATCCATTCTAAGGGGATCTTTCCTTGAAGGGTGCATGCTTCCTACAAGAAAGCATCTATAGGTGTGTGAGATCCTACCCTCTAGGAATCCTTACACAGGGCAGGGAGTCTTCTGATGATGGGGAGATTCAGATTTTCCTTATTGTTAATGATACTTATCACTTGTCAACCACTACAGTGAAATTACACCAACTGAGATTTGCCTTAGAATTTGGAGGGCCTAGGGGCTTTGTCTGGTGCTCTACCTTTAGGAATCCAGGCAGGCTGCTTTTTCTAACTCTCTATCAGGGTACTGTATTTACCCTGCCAGACGGGAAAATAATGCAAAAGTAAACAAATGCCATCATTCTTTTGTTGGACCCACCACTTAGGAGTCAGAAAGTGACTTGGAAATGAATGGTTTGGGGGAAAAGTGTAACCAGACGTCATTTCCTCCCTGCTCCTCCATCCCTGTGACCTTGTTTGACCTCCTGATGAAAACAGTTGCCCTTATCTTTGTTCCTGTTTTAGGGATGAAGGAAAACTCTTCTGCTTCCCATTTGCTAGACAGAGTATGAAGGAATCACTTCATTCCAACAGTTATGTGGAATTTGGTCAATTGTGAGGAATATTTTTTTAAAAATACACCATCAACAAAAACAAGAGATTTAAATAGAAAAGCTAAAGTATCATTACTGGAAGAAAAAAAAAAAGAATTCTTGATACTTTAATCCCAGTGACAAAATATTTTCTAAATAGGAAAAAAAGAAAAGCCTCATTCTGTTAGAAAGAGTTGCTTTTTCCAGAAAATTCCAGACTTTCTTTCTTGGGAATAAGGAGTGCTATAAATTGCTTTTAAAGATAATTTTTTTAAAGGTATCATCTAATATGGCTTATGTTTTATCGGGACCTGCGGATTCAGAGTTCTGCAGAGGTGGTCCATATGGGCCTGACCACAGGACAAAGCTGGTGTGATGGCCACTTGGTGGAGAGGGAGACCACCTTCCAGGACAAAGAGGATGGCCCGACTGAGCCACTTCAACAGCTAAGGATGACAGTGAGCCGTTTCTTACCTGCAAACAAGTGGCAATATGAGAAGTCAGGAAGCTCATTTTCATAACAGGGAGAGAGTCTGATTCTGAGAGATCTTCTGATGGAAAAGGTGTGGTGACCTCTTTGCCTCTGCCTTTGACCTCAGTCAGGGTTCAACAGTCAGTTAACCCCCAGAGTCCTAGAGAACACAGCCACAGTACTGTCACTGGAGGCTAATTCCAGTTTCAGCGCTGGGTGCTGATGGAGCCATCTCTTCTTAGGGCAACCATGCCAGACTGCCTGACTGCTTCTTTGGCTGAATCAAAGGCCACTCTGCGCCCTGCATCATTGCCCCCTTTGTCCTGGGGGAAGGCATCACTGTGGCTGTGATCCTTCCACACTCCCACTCTGTCACACCACATGAGCACACCACCTCATCTAAAGTGCTCTGTGCTGGCAGGGCTTACACTGACAGGGACCTATGGAGTCTCATGTCATACCACCTCATCTAAAGCGCTCTGGCAGCTCACCCATCTTCCCGCCCCCTCCCCATCTGCCTGTGAACTTCACTATCCTCACCCCAGGCAATGCTGCTGCTGGCAGGGCTCACATTGACAGGGACCTATGGACTTTCAGCATTCAAACTCAGGGAATCTCAGTGCTGAAGGAGTGTCGATAGGCATCTATCCCTGCCCCACCTTGAAATAGGACCAGTCCAGAGCCAACAGCCAAACCAGTTCACAGCTTTCCGTCAGCATTTATTGTGCCTCTGCTATATGCTGACACTGTTCTAGACACCTATAAGACTAGGTTCTCTGTCTAGGGGAATATAGCACTGTAGCCCAGGAAGGTGGGGAAATTATTTTACCTTCTCTTTTTTGTAATTTAAAAGGAAGAAAAAATCTTCAGTACCTGCTTCTCGGATCAGGTACTATAGACAAAGATAGGTAATACGTTTTCCTCTCTTAACAGTTGTTCATATCATACTTCCTTCCCCTTTGTCCTGTCAGCCAACAAGCACTTCCTGGGTCACTGTAGTGTGTCCACGTCTTCCCATAGCAGCTGAAAATAGCTACGATAGTTCCTGATTTCTGAAATTTTATTAATCTCCCCCAGGAGATGAATGAAAACTCTTGAAGCCAACCATAATTAATACAAGACCACATGAAATGCTGCCTAATTAAGCACAAAGAAGTATTGTACACTTGACAAGTGTATTGAAGTGTAGAGTTGGAGAAGGCAAAAGAAAGGGATTAGAAAATGATCTGAGTGTAAATTCATATAAGCCATTTTTCACTTGAACACTCATGTCATTCCACCACACTCCTGCACCAACAGGGCAAAGACACCTCTGTGTTGGGGTAGTCCCAGCAGGGGACATGAGTGAATCTGTCTTGGAAGAATTGGAATGAAGCTAGCATATGTAGACAAGTTGATTAGTCATGTGGCGGGACGGGCATGAGGAAAGTGTGATACTGAATTCTAGGTTAACATATGAATATGAAGAACCTCAAACACCAGGTTCTTTAGATATATTTTGGAAAGAATGATAAGATAGTGATGGTACTAGGCAGCCTACAAAAAAGATTTTTCTCTGTTAATCAGTTTAAAACACTAGAGGAAGAATTCTAAAATGAAAGCATATAAACCAGCTTCAGTGAAGAAATATATTCTAGCCAATGGTAGTAGGAGAAAGTCAAATGAACAGATTAGCAAGGAGATTTAATAGGAATGATTGGCAAGACTTAGAGACTGATTATCAGCAACATAGGAATAGATCCTTAATATAGGACAAGTATTCATCTTTGATGAATAATCCAAGTCTGGGGTAGATGTTGGCAGGAAGCGTAGCACAGTGAATAGACATGGGCTTTAAATATGGCCAAATTCGGATGAGACATGGCTTCCTAGACATCAGTTGAATTAGAGAATCTAAGAAAATACTTTCTGTTAAACATAGGCTCCTAGAAAATAGAATTCAAAATCCATGTAAATGTTTAAAATGAGCCTTGAAAATTATAATCCTGGAGAGGATCATGCCCAGTCACATGCACCTGTGACTGGGTATCCATGCTCTTCTGCATTGTGGCTACTTTGGTAGAAAAGCCCTGCCAAGTAATAGGCAACACAAAGTCAGTGTTCTAATGTTTGAGATCCTTGACTTCTGAAGCTATTTCTCTTAGAAAGCTGCTGGACCCTGGATCTCCCTCTCCCAGAACACATTGTGTTCATAGAAACCTTACCAGCAGAGTTGCATACCCCAACAACCTCCATGCATAAGAATGCGAAGCTAAAGGTACTCATTAAAAGTACACTCCCAGCCTTCCCTGGTGGCACTGCGGGTTAAAGCACTGTACTGAGAAGCTAAAGCCACTTCCGCATGAGTTCAATTCCCTCCTGCCCCGGAGGTGACCACATGGCGTGGCAGACCTCTCCTGACCCGCCCACTGCTCCCCTCAGCAGTGTACTTCATCGATCTGCCTGTTCTGTTCCCTACTCTGTCTCTGGTGAAGCCTCTAGCCATCCCTGAGCCTCTGGCCTGTACCCCAGTTCTGTATGCACAAATAAAATAAATCTTTAAAAAAAAAGTACACTCCCTCTGAGCCAAAGTCAAGCTGTGAGAACTTCCTGAAACCTAATCCCACCTGTCAGTATTTCATTTCTGGGCCTGTGTACCTGGACCATGTGCAATATCTGCTATCCAGTAAGGAGACAGATTTAAAAAAAAAAAAAAAGGCAATTAGAGGGCAAAGGTAATGACAGGGCAACAGTAAAGCTCCTGCTGGAAAGGTAGCTTAACCTTTGAGGGGAAAATGTGCTTCCCACTCTGTCTCTGGTGAATCCTCTCACCACCCCTGCACTGTTGGCCCGTACCCCAGTTCTATATGCATAAATTAAAAATAAGTCTTAAAAAAAAGACGCATATGAAAGCTAGCCACCTCGCTGGCTATAGCTAGCTGTAACTGGTCAATTTTTGCTAATTTGCAACTCTTTACAGCAGCATTCAAAGCATCTCCTCCAGTAGCTTGGTGCACCAAGAACATTCCAATCAGGTCTTCCTTTAAAAATGTTCTGTAGACCTTCCTCTCTTCCCACCTCGCTCTACCTGGAGAACAAAAAGACAAGACAGTGTGTGAAGCATGAAAAGTGTGCATCCTCTCCACTGTCTCCCTCGTGTGATGGGACTGATCCCAGCAACTCTGGGATCATGAGCCAACGAGAAGTCAGAAGACACATATCCTCTATAGACAGCAAGGTTATCATCTCTGGGTGGCTTGTTCAAGGTTGCCTTCATTCATTTGATAACAGGTATAATGTATCATTCAATGCCCAGCAATCTGAATAGTCCTAGCAATCTGAATCTCCATTGCCACAGAAAGCTGAGTCAAAAGGATGAGGGTGGGACCTCCCTGGTGGCGTGACAGGTTAGGACGCAGCACTGCAAGCTGGCCACAGCCGTTTCTGTCTCTGGTGAATCCTCTCACTGCCCCTGCTCCTCTGGCCTGTACCTCAGTTCTATGTGCATAAATAAATAAATCTTTAAAAAATGAAAATAAAAGGACAAGGGTTTACATTCTGAGAAGGTTAAAAGGGCATCCGGGGAGAGAGATTCTTAGTTTTGCTCTGCTCTCCTCAGCACACCACAGCTTTTATTAGCAGAAACAGCAAAGCTACAAAACAAGATCCAGCATAGGCAGAACTACAGAACAGAGGTTCATTTTCTTATTTCTAAGTGTTCAGCATATTTCTGGCACTCGTTCTCTGCCAAGGTTCAGTGTTATCAAATTGTTCTTTTCTCACACTGTTTCACTAACACAAGAAAAAAGCCATCCTGGCCTGCACAGGGGCCAGTCCTCCAACCTGATCAGGCTTATTCATGACCAGGCTTCCTGCCACAGCCTTGATGTTTTTCTTGTCCCAATACTCCACGCCCTAGGGCTCCCCAACACCCCATCTCTGCTGGGAGTAAGTATTGTTCTTAATTACTATCTTTCTAGGGGGCTTCTTCACCCAACATCTTTATACGTGACATCCCCTGGCTAGACAGATGGGTTTTGTATAATATATGTTTATGTAAAAAAGAAATATTGCAACACAAAATTTTATTCACAACAGTCCATTCTTGTGAAACGAATGGATTGTAATTCTCCCCAAAATGAAGTGTGATGAGAAGTAGAAGACGAGAAAGGCTTTTGCTGTTGAGGGTCATTTCCGACACCTCTCTCCGTCTTCCCCTTTTAGCTCCCTGATAATGGCTTGGCTTTGCTGTGTGTCAAGCAGAACTCATTTGTCAGGGACCAGCCCCAATTTCAGCTTGTAGAGAGGCTGTCACAGGCAGAGTCTCAAGGTGGGAACGACGTCGGCGAGGAGATATTCTAAAAATTGGAGAGCGGGAGTGAGGAAGACACGGGAGTCGGAGTTGGGTGCAAATCTTCCTGCTCTGCCTTCAGCAGAGGTTTATTTTTATACATTAGGAGTAAATAGTGGGATGATATCAGCACAGGAACTGGGCTGAGAGATTACAATCATCTTTTTTTCTAAGAACAGTTTGAGGTCGTTTTGAACCTTGCTTGAGATTACAACATTCTAAAATCAATCAAGGTAAAAAACAGGTGCATAAGTACACAAAGTCTATGACTAATATTACTATAGTGGAGATCAACTAAGATAGAAGTCCCTTAAACTTTATCTACTACTTAATGGGTTTTTGTTTTTCTGCCTGAGTCATCCTGGGAGACAGAAGAGGAAATTCCTTGCTAATCAAATCTCTGAATAGGAGACATAGGTGAATTTTCTTATCTAAAGTCTATATAGTAGAATCCTGAAAAACTAGCCAGAAGACTTTTGTGGATTCCTTTAAGGTGTAGCAGATGGAAAACTTGATTAGTTTAAAAACAGGCAACCTGGATGAATTTCCACATCTAAAGGCCAAACAATAGGAAGTTTGAGTAATTCTTTAGAAGCTGAATAGAAGGCTAGGTGAGATAATAGAATGATAAGATTTGGGTTATCCTCCATCTGCAGTGAGAGAGACTTTGCAAAAATAGCCCTTTTGCTTTTATTTATCAGTCAGTAGTCAAGTCACTTGACTTCAGGGGAATTTTTCACCCTGGTGCAGTGCTTGCTTGTCAGGGCAGGCAGGCCTTATGCGGCTGAGGCAGTCCAATTGTAAGCTGAAAGTTGCTCAGAATATTTTATGATTATACAAAAAAGGGAGGTCATAACATAAGTTGGCGTGGAAAGTCTGATTTTTCAGAGCAATTCCCCTCCATCCGGACCGTGTCTGATGACAGAGGTTGCATAGCTTGTGTCACTCATTGTTGGGTTTGTATAGCCCTTTGCATAGCCCCTTGTAGGAAGAAGCTGTGTTTGTGTGTATTGTGAGTTTGTACAAGCGGATTGCACTCTTTGCAAGGACGAACTAGACCACGTGAACAAGAGGATGGAAGAACCGGGACCAGTGGAAGGCCAAGGCCAACCCTCCAGCCCCCAGCAAGGCTCTCTGAGGAAAGCTGTGGCTGCTGCCCTCACCCTGGATGGAGAATCCACACTGGGTCGCAGGAAAAAGAAGAGGAAAGAGTCCCGTCCAGCTTCCATCATCATCTACCGGTCTGAGAATGAGGAACTGGATGAAGAGCCCGGGGAATCAGAAGGTGGAGACCTGCCAAAAGAAGAGGAAGGAGAAGATTTCCTAGATTATTCTGCAGATGATGGTAAGTGTCTCTCAGACCACTTGTTTAAAACCAGTTGGGAAGAAAGCCAATTGAGAATCTTCCAGAAAACAGCAGGCTTTTGTTCACTGATCAATGTTTTCTTGTTGATACATTGCTTCAAAAAGACTGCATGACGGTCTTCATTCAAGAGTTGACAGTGTTTTTGCTGTGTGTCTACTATAAAGGACAGGGTAGAGATCTCCCACTGAAACTGTTAGTATAATGGAAGAGGCCAGTTTATACAGGAAAATAAATAAGACAAGCAGATAATGCAAATTATTTAATGCATGTAAGATAAAGTAACAATAAGAGTTGACTTTCAATAGTTTCCTGCAAGCTATAACAAGTTATAGTAATCTTTTCATTAGCTATCCCACGAAATCTCTGCCCGTGTGTACAAAGAGGCACATATGAGAATGTTCATGGCCACTAATGAAACTGTAGGATGTCCTTATTAAGCATTACTATGCAGCAATAGATGGGTGAAGTAGACCTATGTGTGTGGGTGGACAGATCTTTTAGACTGTTGAGTCCAGAATTCCGATCCTCGAGGAAACGCAGAAAGGACGAGAACAGAGACACTAAAATCCAGCAGAGGCAGGATTATTCAGAAACCGACATGCCGGGGCTCAGTAGTACTCAAGACTGAGAGCCCTGATTGTTCACAGGCAGTAGTTTTTATACATTTTACAATGCCCTTCCCCCAGCGGAATGCTCCCTCTGTGTTTCCTATTAAGACCACCCTCTCCCCTAACTCCAGGAACTGATAAGCACATTCTTGGTAGGGGTGTTAAACATTTGTCTTAAGTTGACAGGCTCTAAACATTTGTCTTAAGTCAACAGGCTCTAAACCCCGGAAGGCAAAAGGGCGGTCGGGCTCGTAAAACAAATGTTTTGGCTTTCTGTTAAGCGTCTTTTAACAAGACATTGCACCCACAGTGCATACCACAGACAAGGCCCCTGCTCTCATGGAGTTTGCCATCTAGATGAGGGAAGACAGTGAACATGTCAGCAAATGAAGCTAATTGCAGGTAATGGGTGAATTTCAAAGACAGCTAGCCATGGTGGCTAGATGGGTGACTGCTGGAGGGCAGTGGGGGAGGTTGCATGGCCAGGGAAGGCCTCTTGGAGGTAGTGACATAGTGATGCAAATGACATAAAAGCCTCAGTTGTGATAAAGTGGAGCGCCAGAACTTTCTAAGAAGTGGGAGCAGCAAGTGCAAGATCTTGAGGTGGGCTTACCACGAGCCTGTCTATGAAATAGTTGTTTCTGTGTAGGATGTGTAGAGAAGAAGGGGGACTGCTGTCGGGAGCCCTGCTCTTTCTGTGTCTCGTCTGTGCTTTCCACACCTCCTGCTTCTAGGCTGCATTTACATACCAAGGATGACTACTTTTGGGGGGGATGGCGTGTGTAGGTGACATAAGTGTCATGTGGGTGTGTGATGTACATGGTGCACCTGTATTCATTACATGTATGTGTTGCATGTGTGCTATGTCCATGGCATGGGTATATGTGTACAGTATATCATGGCATGCACGTGGCACATGGTGTGTAAACATGTGTCTGGCACAGGTGTGCATGTGATGTGTTACATGAACTTGGCATGTATGTGCCTGGTTTGTACAGGCTGTGTGTGGTGTGTGTGTTAGATATGTGGTGACGGTGTGTGCGTACACATATGTATAGAACTTGGATGTGAAGACTGGATGGCTACAGGCATGTGAGGAGACCCCCATGTCAGGGAAACAGAGCAAGGACTGAGAAGGAAGAGAGAGGGCTGCTCCTCTGTATAACAGACACACACTCAACCCAGTCTTCACCAACACTCACCAATAAGCATATTTTCCCAGCATTCTACAGCAGAAATTATACAGTGCAGAACCTATGAAGTGGTATTGGTAGTAAACTTCCTTTCTACAACAGAGATTGTGCCAAGATTGAGGCCCAGAAAAGTAGAGTGGGAACATGAAAACAAACTTGACCTGCCTCACAACATTACCCAGACGTGTAGTGAGAGTTGTTTGTGGGAGGCTCAGTGCAGCTGGCTTCTGCCCAGGAAAGGTCCCTTCAGGCCCCCATGAGCCATGGGTTACAGCAGGGTGCCAGAGGCCATAAAAACAGGCCCTCTTAGCCTCATATCCCACCTCTGGGGATGAGGTTCACCCCTTTCATCTTGTCATCACCTTCGTTATACCCCACAGGTATGTGGAACATGCCTTTGGACAGCCGCTACGTCACCTTAACTGGGACCATCACAAGAGGGAAGAAAAAAGGTCAGATGGTGGACATCCACGTCACTCTGACAGAGAAGGAGCTGCAGGAATTGACCAAGCCTAATGAATCGTCCAGGGAAGCAACACCTGAAGGCCGACAGACCTGCCCAATGGCAGCTGACCGTGGGCCCCACGTGGTCCTCTGGACACTGGTCTGCCTGCCTGTGATTTTCATCCTGTCTTTCGTTGTCTCTTTCTACTATGGCACCATCACCTGGTACAACATCTTCCTCGTGTACAACGAGGAGAGGACCTTCTGGCACAAGGTCTCATGTTGCCCCTGCCTCATTCTCTTCTACCCCCTGCTCATCATGGCCATGGCCTCCTCCCTGGGCCTCTATGCTGCTGTGGCCCAGCTCTCATGGTCCTGGGGTGCATGGTGGCAAGCTGCCAGGGACATGGAGAAGGGCTTCTGTGGCTGGCTGTGCAGCAAGCTGGGTCTGGAGGACTGTTCCCCCTACAGCATTGTGGAGCTTCTTGAATCTGATAACATCTCAGGCACTCTCTCCAACAAGGATGCCACCCAGGAAGTAGAAACTTCCACTGTCTGAACACCCAATGACTTCCTTCCTTCTTTGGTTCCAGTAGACTATATATCATCTTCCAATTCCAGAAGATTTCTTCTCTAAATCTACCCCTTCCTCCCAGACACACAGTTTTTCTGGAAAATTCTAACCTACACTGATCTCTCCTACCATTTTGATGATTCAAAAAGGGCAAACAAACAAACAAAAAATCAGAAAAGCAATTTGTGCCAAATTAGTCCCTGTAGCGAACAAATACCTTCATTTCTTTCCCTTAATTGACCATTTACCAGGGACAGGAGTTCAGTTTGAGTGTCAGTTCAGTTTGGTGCCTGGAACCCAGGCGGTATGTGACTAAATATGACAGAAGGGTAGGGAGAATCAGGGAGACCAAGTCTACCAATAAGACAATAGATCAGGATCGTGTGAAAGTTTTAGGAAGCAGCTACCACCGTGTAGCAGAATATAATGTGTGTATATCACTTAGTTTTTTGAATTAGCTGATTTTGTACTTAAAATCTTGAAGTGGTTTAATATAGAAGTCCCCTTCTTTCTTGTATAGAAGTCTGGAGATGGAGCTTCAAGGGACTCCATGACATCAGCAGATTCCATGCACCTCTCAGTCCCCCTAGTATAAGGTCCTCATTGCTCTTATTCTCAGCCCCCTCACCGCCTACCCCCTACTTCGCCCCAGTGCTGATTACAACTCCAGCCATCACACCCATGTTTCTGGAAGAATAGAGGAAGGGGCAGAGTTTATCTTCTTCTTTTTTTTTTAAAAAGATTTATTTATGCATACAGAATTGGGGTACAGGCCAGAGGTGCAGGAGTGGTGAGAAGATTCACCAAAGACAGAGTGGGGAGCAGAACAGATCGACGGGTCAGGAGAGGTCTGCTGGGCCATGTGGGTCACCTCCCCGACAGGCATTGAACTCATGCTGAAGTGGCTTTAGCTTCTCAGTGCTGTGCTTTAACGTGCTGTGCCACCAGGGAGGGCCCTATCCTCCTCCTTTAAGGAGGCTTTCTAAGAGTCACCCAACACTTCTTTTATCTCATTGGCCTGATCCTAGTCACATGACCACATGAACAAAGGAAGTTGGAAAATGTAGTTTTTTTGGCTGCATGTCCATATTTTGACTAAATACTGGGGTCATCCTTAAGAGAAGGGAAAAGTAGCTATTTGGGTAGATAAGTAAGAATCTCTGCCTCACAGTAATTATTTAAATACATTCAGATCCCAAATTTCTTATCATTTTTACTTATTTATGTATTTATTTATTTATGAATCTTACACAGAAAATTTATACATGGATACTGGCCACATTTAATGGATATATGATATATACAGTATTAGTAACTTGTACTTTTGAAATAAATGTGGTTTCAGGTTTTTTTTTTTATTATTTATTCATCTGGAACTGGGGTACAGGCCAGAGATGCAGAGGGTGAGAGGATTCACCAGAGACAGAGTGGGGAGCAGAACAGGCAGATCGACGAAGTACACTGCTGAGGGGAGCAGCGGGAGGGTCAGGAGAGGTCTGCCTCGCCATGTGGACTTCTCCTGGGCAGGCGGGAATCGAACTCATGTAGAAGTGGTTTAAGCTTAGTAGTGCAGTGCTTTAACCCGCTGCGCCACCAGGGAGGGCCCAGGTTTTTTTTTTTTTTTAGAAAGAAGAATGAATAGTTGAATACTCTAATCTAGTGGTAGCATAACTTTTTCCTTGGTAGAAGTGGAACAGCGTAGACATTCAGTCTAATTTGCCGATTAAAAACGGTGAAGGGAGGATGCATCTGTCAAACTTTTTCCAAACTGGATCAGAAGCTCTTCATGGGAAGAAGACAATTTAGCTTTCTGTTGTCTTCAGAGCCTCCCTCACCAGACCTTCCTAGAGATCAGAAAATGTGATTTTGCTGTGCTGAGAAGCTTGTGTTTTCCTGGCCACAAGGGTGTAAACCAGATGAAGCCAGGTAAATAATTCTGAACTAAAAACATCATTTCTGAAGATGTCCTTCTAATTTCAGAAGTCAGATCCTAAGAGGGCAGCCGGGTTTGTGTCCAGCTGGTGCCTACTTCTAGCTCACATTTCAGAAAGATGATCTTTAAAGAACTGTTGTGACACCACAAGGAGAAGCTGGCCATGCTTTTCCACAAGACATGTAGTGTGTGAGAGCTAAACCCACCACCAGACGAACTATTTTTCTTTTTTGCAAAAAACAAACAAAAAAACTGCCATTAGTTTCGGGTGGGGGGAAATTATGTCCAACATTTCTAAAGATAAACTTGGTGCTCTCTGGTGCTTTTGCAGAGATAGAAACAACTGAAATGAAGACAAAGAAAATAAAAATAAAATCTGATTAACATTTATGTGTGCTTTTGGGGGAGATTTTTTCCCCAAAATTGTTCTGAATGTTATCATTTTCACAAAAAGGGTAAGGTAGTGACTGTCGTATAAATGTATAATGATCTTAGCATGAACCGTACGTCTTGACTTTTTCCAGGCACTACCTGTTTGTGGGGGTTCCATTTAGGTGCACAATTTCCATATCTCACATATTTACCTAAACCTACATTAAGAAGTTGCAGCCACATTTGCTGTACTTTTCTGGGGTTAGAGAAATCAATGGCCAAAGCCAAAAAGAGTCCTAATTTACACCAGGGGGCTGTGGAGGGAGGTTGGGTGAAGCCAGGAAGATGCCTGTCAGTAGATGAAGTTGACAAGTCCCTCACCTAAGCTGGGCCCACCACCTAGTGGAGCAATAGACTTGTAAATTGAAACCACTTTAGAAAGGCTCCAAAAAGGAGTAAAAGCTTACACCAGAGGAAAGAACACTTAACCAAACAGAACTATAGCAATTTCATTTTTGCTATCAGCAAACACCTAAGGAAATCTTAGAGGAGAAACTGGAGAGTTCAATGCCATAATTGAGCATTGTCATAGTTATCTAATCTATGGTGAATATCAAGTGCAAGGATTATGTATTTCCAATACCTTTCCAGCATAATATACTGAGCTAGCTAATGAGGTCTGATTCAGTATTATAATACTAATGTTTCCAGCTATCTTGTCTACTGACATTAGATAGAGGTCTTCATTTTATTTCAAATCCAAAGCAAATAAAATCCATGTTCTCACATTTTCAAATAAGCATGAGCCTACATCTTAAAAATAACTAATTTCAGGTGATATGAAAGTTTCATTATATCATGTTGGGATGACTGCTCAAAAGTTAATTTTTGCAGTGTTGCAAAAGACCCATGGCCAAACTTTCTCAATTACTTTAATTACTAACAAGCCTATGATACATATTTTTAAATAGTACTTTAAAATAATATTTATTATATATATATAACAGTATATCAATGTTCACATCCTTCTGGGATATAAAGTTTTCATATATGTACCCTGTTAAGATTTTTAACTTATTTTTGCAATTGTCCAAACAAAGCACCATTACAGCTCTAACAGAACACAAAACACCTTGTTATTTTGTATAATACTCACGAATTCACTCTCAGAGTGATATCAAATTCATTCCAGCACTTTACATTGTAATTTGAAGATAAATCAAACTCTTTATTTGCTTTTATTAACTATCCTGAAGAGGCTGCATTGTCTACTCTATAGCAATCATTTCAAACATCCCTATCACTTTAGTTATCTCTTACAACATAACACCTAACACTCAATGGCCTAAAGTAACAACTGTTTTATTTATTTGCTCTTAAGTCTACCATTTGGGCAGAACTCCATGGGGACAATGGGTTCAATATCTCTCAATGTTGTGATAGGGCTGGAGCTTTTATTACAAGATGCTTTCACTGTTATGGTTGCCAAATTGGCACCGGCTGCCCCCTGGCCTACCCCTGGAGATGTTGGTATTTTTTCTGTTTGAACTGGCATAATGAAAAGCCATAGATAGGGAGACTTACACAAATTCCTTTCTCTCAGCTCAAGTGTCTGAAAGTCTGAGATCAGGGTGCCTCCATGGCGGGGTTCTGAGAGCTCCCCACCTTGCGTTGCAGAGGGTGCCTTTTCTCTATCTGTTCCTATGACCTCTTCATTGTGCAAATATAAGGAACAAGAGGGAAAGTGTGAAGAAGATTCTAGTGTCTCCTCTTATCCCAATAATAATACCATCATGAAGGTCCTAGCTCCATGATCTCATCTCACCATACTGACCTCTCACAGGCCCCATTTCCAAATACCATCACTAGGGCTTTAGCTTGTGGGTTTGGGGAGGACATATTCAGTCCCTCATAGTGCTCCTCCATGTGTCTTCTCCATGAGGTGAGGTGGGGCTTAACAGTGTGACAGCAGTCAGTCTTTACACATGGTATCTGGTGTCACAGATACTGTGACACCACAACTGACCCAGTGTCACTTCTGCTTTATGTTTTACTGATCAAAGTAGATTTCAAGACCAATTTCAAGGGGAAAGGGCTAAATTAGGGAGTGACTACCAGGAGGTGTGACTTATAGGGGCCACCAAAATAATGGTGTCATTCATCTTTCCTTATCTCAGCCATTTTCCTCCCATACCACAGTGGCTACCACTTAGGTCTCTATCCAAAACACCCCTTCTCTGCTACTAGCCTTAGCTTCTCAACCTCTTGCTCTCCCTCTTCATATCCAATTCTGTATTGTACAAATTCAAATAGAGTCTGAACTGACATGGATAAGTCCTTCCATAGTGGAGAAAGAAGAAACTACATGCATTATCTCATTAACAGTGCATGCCCCACACCCTTTATTGTGGAGACCTTTTGCCAGGGAAAGCTGTACTTGAAGTCTCAATATGTTTTCAGCACCTTGACTGCCTGGTGACCTGGTGGATGATTCTAGAGACTTATATGGAATGACTGAGCTGCAAACAAGCACAGATACTAGACTCTTTGATATTTATTCTAGGCAGCAAACCTGTACTGGAGGTTGTTGGAATTGTGAGAAAGAAGAGAGGAAAGACAGAGAAAGGAGAAGGGAAAGAAAACAAAGGAAAACTAGACATAATATACAAGACGAAAATATGGTTATAAAGTATGCAAATGTCCTTCCCTACGGTCAGTCCGGTAATTGTACTTAGCTGTCATACAAAAATAATTTAAAATATATTTGCTGTAAAAGAACTCCATGTGCTTGAATCAGAATCGTAAAAGACTGCTGAATTCTGTGAGCTCATTCTGAAAATGTCTAACTCCCCTGGCCTCAGTGTATTTATAACTTCTGCTCCCCTTAAGTTCCTTCCTCCTCTGGGCCTTGCCACATCTTTCCAGTTTTAGTTCCTGCTGCTTCCAGAATACAATTTTTAAGAGGGTGAGAATATGATTGGATTAAATCCTCCAGTTTGGGCAGAATTCTGCAGACATTTTGCAAGTTGCTGGATTCTTTGTAGAATCGCCTGTCGGGCTTATGAGTCATTTGGTATAGAAATCAGCTATTTCTGTGCAAGGTGGCATTTGGGCTCACCTCTCTCAAAGAGGAAGCTCTGAATGCTTGCCAGGCACCATGATTGATAACTGCCACGTCTGGAACACCTGCCTCCATTCAGCTTTATGGAATCAATCCTCCCCACCTGCCTTCAAAGGTAGGGTCATTCCAAACAATCGGGAGATCCTTAGCAGCTGTGGTTTCATACTTCTTGGCCTTCGAACATCCCATTTCCTCCTCAAAGAAAGCCCTTCTTACTTTTGAGTCCTACTCTTCCTCCAGAAGTTGATTCCAAAATCACTGCATCAGTTAAGTCGTAAGTCCTCTTTTGGGAAGAGGAAACACATTTGTATAGACGTGGCTTCTTATTCATATTCACACTTACAGTGAATATGGGGAACTCTAACTCTGGAGACCTGACACACAGTGCTATAAGTGTTTTTCCCAAAGGGAGAAAAGAAAAATGAACCTTTTAAGGAAGTAAACCGCATTCACCTAGTGCTACTGCAGGGTGGTTCATGTAGCCATCGGGGCGGAGCTTGGGAAATCTGCGCATGCTCGCAGCGCCAGCGTTTTCCCTCGCCCTTTCCAGTCTCCACCGTGCGGCTTTTCCTACCAAGGGCGGAACCGAGTTCACCGGAACTAAGGAGCGGTCCCGCTAGTTCCTACCCGGAAAGGGTGCTCAGGCACCTGCGGAACAGCAACATGGCGCGTTCCAGGAGTAAGGTAGAGCGGTCCACGAGGTTGGGCCTTGCCTACGCCCGGGTTTGTAGTGGGTGGTCAGAAGGCAGGGTCAAGGCGATGCGAAGATAAGAGGGTCTATCACCGTAATGCGTTGGGTAGGAAGAACCGGAACCCCGTGATGCACTGTGGGAAAAGCTGGGGATCACGAGTCCTAAGAGCTGAATTTGATTCTCGCCCACTCTCCATCCCCTCCTGTCTTCTCACTTCCTTCTACTCACTTCTGTAGACCACTCTCCTGACCGACTCCTTAACCCTCCCCCCCTTCTCCACTGCCTCTGAGTCGGGAAGTTTGAAATTCATTTTCATAACGGAAGTTAGCCTTGCTAAGCAGGTGCTACACAGACTCAATACTTAGGAGAGGCATTGTGAGTGATAAAACTTAAAATGTAAAGCGTCATATATACTTGTAATAGCTGTAATCCGTCTCATTTGTTGAAAATTTTAGTTCTGATCCGATAGTTGCTGTCTTGTTTAATTTTCACATACCCATGAGATCAAAATAAGCCCCAGTTTACAGGTGAGAACACTGAGATATAAAACAGAAGTGAAGCAGATCGTCAAGGTCCAAACCTGTCCATAAGTGGGGGGATCTGGATTTGAATCCAGGCTGTCTGGTTTCAGAATCTTAGATTCTGCCTGTGATGGTAGGAGGCTTGGACTCTCAGTGTCCCACTTTAGTAACAGACATTATAATGAATATCTCAAATGATATATTCTAAGAAGGGAGGTGTCACTTGTCTCAGTAGGATTACTAGAGGGAGTTGTCTTCCAGGGAGTTGTCTGTCCTTTCGTCCATCCTTCCATACATCCAAAAGCTAGGCGTTACTAGCATCTGTTACACAGAAAAAGTAGGAGTTTGAGCAAGTGATATATAGCCACCTTGGCTTCCTGTTGGGAAATGCTAATTTAAAAGATTGTGAAAGTTTGATGCCACTCACCTATTTGTCTTTTGGCTGCTGAAAACTTTGCAGCTCTAGAGAGTAGCTACTTACTGCAAGTGGGCTTGCAGCAAAGTTCTATCAGCCTGTATTATTTTGATATAAATGAACAGAAATGGTTGGTCTGCCCAGTTTCTCTTTCCTGGTTTTTTTTTTTACTGCTGCCAGAAGAGAATTTCAAATGTTATATAGACACTTGTCAATGCACAGACAGGAAGTTACATTTTATTAAACTATTTGATGCCATTTTTTGATGTCTGATTCCTGGCAAAAGAGTTTTAGTCGCCTGGTTTTGAAGCGCTTTAGTTTTCTGGTTTTGAAGCAGGAAGTTGCTAAGTCTACAGGAAGTTGTTAAATTGGCTGCTTGGATTCTGCTGCCTGCTGCTTGCTGGAGTGGAAGGTTTCTGCATTGTGTTGTTTGCCCACTGTAGTCGCTATGGCTGCACTGGCCCCTTCCCAAACAATAAAATCTCCAGTGGATGGTGTAACAAGTTTCTATATACAAACTGTATGAAACCTTACTGTTCCTGCAATTCTGGGCTCAGGCTTTTGGGAACTACCCACTGAGCTTGCCATTGTGACAATTAAATCTCTTTCTCTCCACCTCTCCAGTGCTGTCTGTCTGATTTCTCTGGGAAATTGCTGTAACTGTTTAACAGTAGCCTTTTTGAGCATCTATTAAATAAATGAAAGCATATTTTTAGATTTGTATTTTTTAAGATTCTTATGATGTAAATTTTCTGGGCCTCAAAGAAATTTTTTATTTTTTAAATCAAACATGCAATCTTTATTCCAGAAATCTTAATATTAGTGAATCATGTCCAGTGTTTATAAACTAGGAAAAAACTAGATGCCTGAGACATAATCAAATGTAGACACCAACTTTCCTGATAGGAACTTATCCAGATTTTCAAAATATTAATACTTCTAATCTCAGGAGCTCACTGCTTAAGAAAACAGCAATTCTTTTATTGTACACTCGTGTTATTTTTCTCCTTAAAGAGAGTCAAACCAGGTTCCCTGTAACTTCCATTGATCTTTTTATCTCACTTGCAGGCCAATATTTTTATAACACCTGCCAGATGTTTGGGGAAAGCTATCATATTCCCCAACTTTTTCATACATGGCTTAAAAATCCTTTTTTACTCCCCTAACTACTCCTCATGGCATATATTCTCCAGACCCTACTCTAACATGCTGACTTCATGTTCATTTACAGTTAGTGTTTCTCATCAGATGTGATGCTTTAAACTGCTCACAGTTTGTCAGATGTAATCTTATAAGTACTAAGCACAGGTGAGATAGTGTTAAAGAATTGTAACTCTGGAAAAAAACCTGAAAGCTCCTGTAAAGCGATTTCTGTGTAAAGTTAGTGACTAGAATTAAGTCCTTAATTCCTAGAATTAAGTAAGCTTTAATGACATCTCAAAGATTCAGAACTAATTGGTAATCCAGATGAGATTGGGTCTCAGGTCTCCAGGTTGCTAATATAACTTTTTTTTTTTCTCTCTTTTCCTTCCTTGAATTTATCATACTACTACTAGCATACTGATACCTAAAATATTTTGGAGTATGGAATGAGATAGGTGATGTATGCTACAGTTAACATCCATACAGGTGACTCATTTTATAATCTACTCTGAAATTGTGAGTTGCTATTAGTTTCAGATCTTCTCCAACTCTTTCAGTTAAGTTTTGGATGCCAAATATAGAACTTAGCATGTATTCCTTTTACCTCTTGTTCGTGTTTCCCCTATTTCCTTAGTGCCCTACAAACATTATTGTTATCTGATGTATCCTTTGAGCATATCATCGATTGCAGCAGTCACCTATTGTCACAGAAATGCTTCAGAACAGATTATATCTCAGATCAGTGGCTTATAAGTACGTATTCACATGCTTATAGGTCTTCAAATCATTTGCAGTTTGTCTGCTCATCTGGACAATACTTATCTCTAATGTGCAGGTTGTTTTCAGATCTGCTGTAGTACTGGTTTATTTTTTAGCTCAGATCAAAAGAGCAGTAGGTATCTATAGATATCTCCTGCCCTGCCACATACTTCCTAGCTTTTTTTTTTTTTTAAAGATTTATTTATCACCTCATGCTGAAGTGGCTTTAACTTAGTGCTGTGCTTTAACCCACTGCGCCACCAGGGAGGCCACTTCCTAGCTTTTAAAAAGTATCAAGACTATTTCAGGTTTTTCCACAGTGAAAATTTATGTTATTTAGAACATTCCTGTCTTTCATCACGCATCCCTTAATCATCAGTTTGGCTTGAGTTAGACCAGTTAGTAACATTTTCTCAAACACTCTTTGGCACTTTCTTTCTAGGCAGCTGTTGTGTTGTGCTTAGACGTGGGCCCTGCCATGAATAACTCCTTTCCTGGTGAAGAATCACCATTTGAATTGGCAAAGAAGGTGATGACCATGTTTGTGCAGCGACAGGTACGTTGCAGATTTACCTTGAGCTTATCACGATGATTTAATTATTTGTCACCCCCACTTAATAATGCAAGAACCAGGCTTGTTAAATGTCTAGCGTCTGTGTTTTTGGGAACCTGAGTTTTCTTCCAAATCTTCACATACAAGTCAAACTACCATTAGATCCTGATGTCTTTTCCTCTCCTTACTTTGGTCTCTCCACTGGCTGTTACAGGTAGTGTCAGAAACAAGAGACAGTGTCAAATAATGTTTTAAGCACAATCTCTGGAATCAAGGTTTGGGTTTGAAACTTTGACCCTCCATGTCACTTATTAAACTCATGTAATTTTTTGATCTTGAACAAGTCCTGCAACTTCTTTGTGTCTGTTTCAGCTACCTTTTGCTGATAACAAACTATCCCAAAACTACCTTAAATGATATTTTTTAAAAGTTGTCATTGTTTTGTGGAATGTCCTGGTGGCTCAGCTGGATGACTGTTGAAACCTTTTGTGCAGTTGCACTCAGGGTTATTGGGGCGGAGTCCTCTGCAGACTAAATCTGGTGGCGCACTCCTGGGACTGCTAGTTGGTGCCGGCTGGTGACTGTGAGCTCAGTTGGGGCTGTCCATTTGAACCCATACATGGGCTTCTCTAGGTAGCTTGGGATTCTCATATAATAGCAGCTGTTTCTATGAAGTATCCTAAGAGTGAATATTCTTTTTTTTTAATTTAAATAGATATGTGTGTGTGTGTGTGTGTGTGTGTATACATCATTCTTCATTTTGTGCAATTTTTTCATCTTGATTGTAATCCCCATGGACTTCCCACCACGAGTTCACCCTTGTGCCATCACCATAGTGCCGTGTGCTCTTCCCACCCCAGTTTTGATTCTGTCCCCCTTTCCACCCCTATAGAATATCTCTGGTTTATAGTTGATTGTTGCTTTTTGTTTTTACTTTATTACAATTGCTTTTTCCCCTTCCCTGATGCCTTACACTCCTGTTATGAGTGAAACCACCAGGTATTTTTCTTTTTTTCTGACTTGTTTCATTAAGCATGATCCTTTCCAGCTCCATCCATGTTACTGCAAAGGGCATGAGTTTATCTTTTTTGATTACTGAATTATATTCCATTGTGTATATGTACCACATCTTTTTGATCCAGTCATCTATTTTGGGGCTTTTGGGTTGATTCCACATCTTCCCTTTTGTAAATAGAGCAGCAGGTGCAGGTGTCCTTTTGAATCAATGTTTTGTGTCTTTTGGGTAGATACCTAGTAGTGGGATTGCTGGGTCATATGGAAGCCTCATTTTCAGCCTCCAAACAGTTTTCCATATGGTTGTATCAGTTTGCATTTCCACCAGCAGTGTAGGAGAGTTCCTTTTTCTCCACATCTTCGCCAACATTTGTGGTTGCTAGTTATTTTAATATGTGCCATTCTCACTGGTGTGAGGTGGTATCTCATTGTGGTTTTGATTTGCTTTTCCCTTATTACACGTGATGCTGAAGATCACTTTTTTCATATGCCTGTTGGCCATCTGCATTTCCAAAGAAAATAATAAAACACTGTTAAAAGAAATACAAGAAGACATAAAGAAATGGAAAGACATCCCCTGCCCATGGATCAGAAGAATCAACATCATTAAAATGGCCAGCCTACCAAAAGTGATTTACTGATTTAATGCTATTCCAATAAAAATCTCAATAACATTCTTCAAAGAAATAGAACAAGAGTGGATATTCTAAGAGACTTGCTAGTGGCTTTTTATGAACTAGCTGAGCTAGCTTTAGAAATCCCAACATGTCATTTTTACTACTTTCTGTCAGCCAAGCAAGTCATTACAGCAAGTTCTCATTGATACAGCAAGTTGGGTTTGGGAGTCAGTTAGCTTCCTCTGTTGTCTTAAAGAGTGGCCTGCAAATACTAGGAGAGAAGGAAGAAATGTTGGCCATTTTGGAAACTATCAACCACAGTACCCCATGTGTAATGTGTAAGAAAATAGTATCTCTCCCAAAAGGTTGCTTGAGGAATAAAAGACTAAATGTAAATGCAGTGCTTAGAGCAGTACTCTGCGTGCTGTAAGCACAAGTGTTAGCAGTGTGCAGTTTTTCTGCCCCTCCTGCCTGGACTGACAGCTACTTTTGCTAAATCCATGATAGCAGTTTCTGAGAATAATATGATGGAAAGCTATTTTCACATTGTCTGGTGCTATATCCCAAAGTTTTACCACATTTATTTGATTTCTTTTTCTTAAAAAATAAATTATTACAGATAAACTTTAAGTCTCTTGTGTATCCCTTCCCAATCCTCCTTTCGTCCTCTCTCCCTCTTCCCTCAAAATTCTCTTAGTTATAGCCATGTATATGTTATACTTTTGAGTATAAACACATTCATTAAAAAATATTTAGTGTTTTATGATATTCTCTAAGGTACTTGTAATTGTATTACATATTTACCATTTTTTCTTTACCTTGTGATTTTGAGATTTATTCACGTTGATAAACATGGTATAAATGTATTCATTTTACTGGGGTATAATACTCTGCAGCATGATTTTATATGCCCTTATTAATGACAGTTTTGCATGTTTTAAATAGGCCTCAAGTGAGTTTCTTGTTCAGTGTCTCCTTGCGTACACATGCAAGGATTTCTTCATGGGATGTATACCTGTAACAGATTTCTGGGAGAAGGATATGAACCAGGAACATTTTTAATATCTGGAAAACTTAAATCTTGCATAGTCATTTGAAGAAGACAGGGTAACAGCTTTTCAGATTATTCATAACTAATTTTTGTTTTGAGAATTAGACTTTTGATTGGCAGTCAACAAGAGCAGTTCCCTTACCCTAAATTATGCTGAAATAAAGGGCGGGAGTGGGGGCCTGAAGTCACTGGATAAGTCTGCTTGCAGCCAAGGAATAGTCATTGTCCCACGGGCCATCTAGCCTAGTATTCTGTAGTTGACAATGGCCCAGAGACCTGGCATACAGAGGTCTTGTCATCTTACTCCCTGAAAGGTAAGTGTTCAGTGACGTTCAGGTGGTTTTCAACCTTACAATATTTTTCTCTAGGTGTTTGCTGAAAGCAAGGATGAAATTGCACTAGTCCTTTTTGGTACAGATGGCACCGAAAATGCCCTGGCTGGTGAGGGTCAGTATCGGAACATCACTGTGCACAGACACCTGATGCTCCCAGATTTTGACTTGCTGGAAGACATTGAAAGCAAAATCCAACTAGGTTCACAACATGCTGATTGTATCCTTTTTCCACCAGAGAAGAAGAAAAATCTTACTTTATCTTGAGTCATTATCTAGTTTGGTGAGCCTCTCTAAGAACTTCAGCTCTGAGTATGTGGACATTTTTGGTTCTAAGAACAGGGAGGTGACATGTATTTGGATTTAATGTGAAATTAATCACGTTGCCTTGGGTGCCTGAACTCCAGGCCTTTCTGTCACTACTTCTTTGCTCCAGGCTGTTGAGGGGCTGGAGGGCATGTTTAGGGAAGAGATCTGGGGGTACATGTAGTTGCTATGTGTACCGGGTATGGTGATTAGGAATGTTTACACATAGAGATCTAGAGATCTTTTTTTTTTAAAGATTTAATTATTTATTCATACAGAACTGGGGTACAGGCCAGAGATGTGGAGGGTGATAGGATTCACCAGAGACAAGAGTGGGGAGCAGAACAGGCAGATCGACAAAGTACATTGCTGAGGGGAGCAGCGGGCGGGTCAGGAGAGGTCTGTCACACCATGGGGTCACCTCCGGGGCAGGCAGGGACAGGCGGGGATCGAACTCATGCGGAAGTGGCTTTAGCTTCTTAATGCTGTGCTTTAACCCGCTGCACCACCAGGGAGGGCCATACACATAGAGATCTTTTAAAAGAGTGTACCATAAGCATTTCCATGTTTTTTTGGGTGGAGAACATTTTTGTGATGAAAATCAAACTAATATTTAAACTGTGAGATTTCTAATTTCTTTTATAGATTTAAGGGGTTATGTTTGCCTTTTCTAAACAGTAGTGCTGTCCCTGGGCACTGGGAGGTGCTGTTGTACTGGGAGTGACATAAATGATATATTTTAGCTTATTTCATACTTAAGAAAGAACTATATGCAAAATTTGGTTTCCTGATACTGTAAAATGGTATAATTTTTGATTAAATGAATGGGATATGTTAGATTACCTTTTGGCTTATTTTACTTTTCCTAGTTATATATTTGAGGATACACACACAAACACACATAATATGTAGCATATATGAATATATGTTAGTGAGATAAACGTTGCAAGAAGTTTACTCAGGCAAGTAATTTTAAATCATCACACAACCAGCCCTGTGTCAACAATTTCTAGTTCTGCGGATATCAGTACTAAAAAATGTTTCTGGTTCTTGGGATAAAGGGACTATTTGGTGATATCTTCTGTCCTTAACTAGATGAGTCGTGGATGCACTCATCGTGTGCATGGATGTTATTCAACAAGAAACTGTGTAAGTGTCTCATGTGAAGAGATTGGAAATGTGCTTTTGCTCGGTATAGATTGATGTATCCATATGATTCATTGTTAGTCAAGCAGCCTGTTTGTATGACTAAAGAAGCATATATAGAATTTGAAAGATATCAGTGGTTCAGGTCAGTCTCTCCTTTTCATAAGTTTAAAAAGAGGAAGGGCTATTCTTGGTGGGCATTTCTTTGGGAGAAATAAATGTTTGTCTTATTTCAGGCTCTTTGACTTAAGCTAACTACCGAGGAAGTTTAAAAATACTAAGTGGTGTGGTCCAGTTGTAATTGAAATTAAACCCAGAGGAGCCCCCAACTTCATTGCTTAATTACTTGGCCTTTTAAATGGGCATCTCTAAGTAAAACACATTTACCCCTGACTCTTACCAAGATATTTGCACTAAAACCTCAAGCCTAACTAAACTGGTGTTATCACTTCTCAGTCTCTGCACATTCTGTGCTAAATCCTGGCACTAGACCTGTGAGTGGAATCAGGAAAAGGTGTTCAGAAAGTGACTCCTTGCAAGACTGAAGTTGTACACAGAGAGATCCCTTGTTTCCATGCTCCCCTGTGGAGGCCAGAAAGGGATCCTTTTTAATCATAATGATCACACCTTTAACTGAAGTTGGAGTTGGGAAATCAGGGGCATTATGTTTCCTTAATGATTCAATTTTTTTTTCCCAAAGTGTTAAAGTATGAGTTATAACCAGATTGATTACATGTTTAGTAGGAACTTGACGGAGCACATGTAATACTGGGCTCCTATAATGTAATCCATTTGTTAACTGTGTCTAGAACCATTTCTTCACCATTTTCTACTCAGTGACCAGGTGCATTTGATTTTGTAGGAAATAATTCAGGAGAATGATTTTTTAATGTGATCAACTCTCTTTTAGAGGGAAGAAGTTCGAGAAGAGGCATATTGAAGTGTTCACTGACCTCAGCAGCCCATTCAGCAAAGATCAGCTGGATATTATAATTCAGAACTTGAAGAAATTTGGCATCTCCCTGCAATTCTTGTAAGATTGTAAGAATAACGTTTGTAGACAAAGCCTGTGCTCTCACAATGCATGAGTGGGACACCTTCATAAAGCACTTGGCTCCCAGGAGACGTCTCCTTCTGCTCTAAGTTGGGTCTGTCAAATGACTGTGCTTAGCAGGCATCCACTGATTATTCACTCTGTTTCAGGAATTCTTGAGCTTTGGTGATAAGGGATGAAAGTCACAGTGAAACCCAGGAATTTAGTTCTGTAGCAGATTGTTTGTTCACTGTTCTTGGACTCAAGAGAATTGAAGAATTGTAGGAATCTTTTGAAGACAATCAGTTCACCTCCTGCCTGTCTAGAGGACTTGGCCCAAACAATTAGCTGATGACAATGTCTTTTTTTAAATAGCGCTATAGAACTATGTCAGGAGACATTGTTAGGGTAGAGAGTAATGTCAACTCAGAAATCATTTAAAACATATAATACTTATTATTAGCTTTGTTTATATCTTAAAGGATATATAAATTTTATATCTCTAATTGATAAATAGAATGGAATTCATTTATTTGTATTTAAAGATGAGGTGTATGAATTGCAGTGGAAAAATGTACTTTACCGTTTACTGGGGAAAGAGAAAGTCCTCCCTCCTCTAATGACTTGAATTTCTCTCCAGGCATTTACTTCTTTTATTTATATTGCTAACAGAAAGTTCTTTGCACTACACTGCCCCTTCCTGACATATCTGAAATCTGTCTTTTCTTGTCCTAGTTTTGGTGAAAGCAGAGTGACAGTATAGGATGCTGAAATAGTTGTCTTCTAGGGACACTCATTTTTCAGTTTGAGAGCTATACCAGAAAGCCTCCACCTCAGAGTGGTAAGGCTTTGGATTTTTAAAAATGTTTGCCCTGGGGAAGTAAGAACCTCTCTTGTATGTATGTACCTCTTAAGACTGCTGAAGGGCATTTCCTCTCTGTAAAATTATAGAAAAATTATTCAAACTGAAACTTGTTAAGACAGTACTTCAGAGAAATTAAGTGCTGTTTAAGTGACTCTTGTACAAAGTTGAGGTTTTCTCAGTACTCCAAAAGCCCAGCTCTGCTCTGGTCCCTGTCTGGATCCCAGGATGCCTTTACGTGGCTGAACACACTGCATTTCTGTCAAAGTCATCAGGAAGCATGCGGAAGGGGAAACAGCTATTTCTTTTATTTGCTTGTTATTTAGCCAGTTGTGTTGTTTTCTTGGGTGACATACTGTCCTCTTGTGCTACAGACCTGCACACAAGGTCGAGTTTTTGGTTTTATCGCTTGGCGGCGCTGCTTGGGTTAAGAAAATACCAGCAGGCCCAATAAGCACGTGTTCTGAGCAGAATCATTCCTGGGCCTAGTTTTCAGTTTTTCGACTACGGAGAAACTATATTTCTAGTCGAAAGCAGCATAGAAGAGAGCTATTGTTGTAACTTCTTTTTCCAGGATAACTTTCTGACTCTCCATTTTAATGACATTCATCTCTTCTTCCTGGTTGATGAAGGGAAATAGCAATAGCCTGATGCTCTTGGGGCTCCCTGGAAGCTCTTTTCCTGATAGCAAATGCAGGACATACATATTTGTCATGCTTAGTGTATGTCAAGGCAGTTAAATGTAATTAAGTTTTAATAAAAAGATAAAGTTTTAATAAAAAGATATAACCATCCACAACAGGGCGACCAGTAGGTAATGTTGAGTAAACTAAAAGGTTAGCTGAATTCAGCTGCTTAGGTTCCCAAGCCAAGCAAGGTGATACATGCTCCAGTGCCAAGCATTTGCCCTCATTAGCTGTGTATCTGGCCAAATAATTTCATCTTTCGAGAAAACACAGGTGGATATTCCTATGTACCTAGTATTAAGGGTGAAATGAGATTTGTATGAAAGCATTTATAAAGTGCCATATAGTTTTATCATATAATGTGGTTGGTTTTTCGGTTTGTGCCATGATTGTTGAATATTCCCATCTAGTTTTAGTCTCATTTTAGTTAACTGGAGTGAAACACTCCACAAATTGCTTTAACTTAGATCTAGCAATGAAGTTATTTCTGTATAGAAATTCTGTATCTACAATAAGTTTTAAGCACTTTATACACATTCTTTTACTGAATCTTTATAGTAACCTTAGGGATAGTTAATGCTTATACGTGTATGTATGCATATATTTGTGTGTGTGTATATACATACATATGTCTCTCTAGAGCATCACCCAGTCCTTCTAATTTTACCCCCATATGAGGCTTGAGTGAGGGCTGACATCTTTTAAGTCTGGTTTCCAGGTTTACTACTGTTTTGTTTTTTTTTTTTTTGTTTGTTTTTTTTTAAAGATTTATTTATTTGTACATACAGAACTGGGGTACAGGCCAGAAGCTCAGGGGCGGCGAGAGGCTTCACCAGAGACAGAGTGGGGAACAGAACAGGCAGATCGACGAAGTACACTGCTGAGGGGAGCAGCGGGCGGGTCAGGAGAGGTCTGCCACGCCATGTGGTCACCTCCAGGGCAGGCAGGAATCGAACTCATGCGGAAGCGGTTTTAGATTCTCAGTGCTGTGCTTTAACCCGCTGCGCCACCAGGGAGGGCCTGTTTTGTTTTGTTTTTTAATTTGAGAGTAGAGGGCTAACTGTTGCCCTTCTTTGGTAGTAAAGTTTGGGAATATGGAATTGAATGTGTTCAGAGGTGTTGTGGAGGATGTGAAGCTGAGAGTGTGAAGCAGCATAAAGGCAAATGAAGATAAAACAGGGAGTTACAGGGTAAGAGGGTCAAATTCCTTGCATCTGGGTCTAGTATTCTAGTCATATGCCACCTGCCCTTTCGATGATTTGGTTATGCAAGCCAACAAATACATCCCTTTTGCCAAGTCAAAGATGTTTACTTGAAACTGACAGAGTATTAGTGATAGATAATGCCATTTGACATTATCTATTTAAAGCTCTGTCCATCCATGGACATGTCCATTTTTTCCTGCCTACTAAGCAACAATCACAGGATTGATTGTCTTCAATATTATTTGACTTCAGAGCTTGTCTTCTTGACTATGGCTGATCTTTTCCTGATAGTTTGCCTTTCCCGGTTGGCAAGGAAGATGGAACAGGGGACAGCGGAAACAGCAAGTTGGGCTCAGGCCACCAGGGACCCTCCTTTCCTCCAAAAGGAATTACTGAACAGCAAAAAGAAGGTATTCAGATAGTGAAACAAGTAATGATGTCTTTAGAAGGTGAAGATGGTCTGGATGAAATTTATTCCTTCAGGTAAGAAGTGAAAACATTCATTACAGTTTTCAACTGGACCTAAGTAGATTTCTCTTGATCTGATGCTCCCTAGTGCTGTTGTTTTTCTGGATCACTCTCACATTAGCAGGCATTCTTTAACTAATATTTTCATTTGTATTAAGCAAATGGTAGATGAACCCCCAGTCCCTTTTTAAAACTTTTTGTGGTTGATACAGTATTTCATATTTCCAGAGCTGTGTCAATGAAGTTTGGGAATATAGAGACAACACAAATGATTTAACAATTCATAATGTAGAAGATGAGGTGGTAGAACTCTTTTTTATGCCCAGCGTGGGTTACATTTCTTGGGTCCTTCCTTTTCATGTATTTGCAAGAAAACATTTTTAATTATAAAAAATAGTTTCAGATTTGAGATACTCTGTATCCTGCTATACTGTGATTTGGATCTTAGGCAGCAGTAAACTATAACACAGTTATTTAAAAAAAAAAACCTTTATTCATGGAATAGTTTGGTTATGAGGTTGACAGGGTAGTGGGAAGGTAAACAAGAAAACACCCCACATGTAAGTATGTATGACCTACTTATTGTCATGTGTTTTGTAATGGCAAAACTGATTTATGAATGTGATATCCCTAAAGTGTCATACAACAAAGCAAACTTTCCAATTGTACTTCACCATCCACTAAGAAGCCGAGAGTTTTCTGTTTCATCTTCAGACTGATTATGGGTTGCTAAGTTCCTTTTAGAACTAACAAGTCTTTATTTAGCTCTCCCCATTGTGTGCATGTAAGTATCATGTCTTTTATTTAAGAGAATTAGGACTAACTGATGAATTACAGAAAGATGAGGAGTAGTGGCAGGTTGATGCCACCCTTTGACATTCCAGAGCAGAGGTTCTCACCCTCAGGTTGGTGGTTTTCAGGCTCTTGGTGAACTCTTTATTTTATGGACAAACTCCTTTATGAATGTACTTGGCCCTGAAAACAAAAAATTAAGACCTACTGGCTGAGTTGAAGGAAAGATTGAATAGGAGGCGATAGAGATGTTCGCTTTCACCTATGAGCCCAGTGATGCAGCTCCTTCCGCCTAAGCCAACACAATTGTATGCCGGCTCTCTCCCAACTTGTGGGTGTCATTTTCCTGCCATTGCCTGCTGCTCCTCTTTATGATCAGCCACGCCTCACATCTCATTCTAGAAAACTAAGGGTTTTCTAGCAGAAGTTAACATTTTAAAATTGTTGCTTTCATTATACATTTTTTCTTTATTAAGTGAGAGTCTGAGACAGCTGTGTGTCTTTAAGAAAACTGAGAGGCATTCCATGCCCTGGCCTTGTCAACTAACCATTGGCTCCAATTTATCTATAAAGATTGTGGCTTATAAATCGGTAAGTAAAGGGTACACATTTTTAAAAGAAATGTTACTAGGCAGACAAATATGCTTATTATATAAGGAACTGACAACTCATGTGTGGGTTATTCAGTACCATAATTACTGCTTCGCTAACTGTTCTCCCTCTTCATTTAGTCTCTATTGAGCTTTTATGTAAAAGGTATGCTAGGAGAGGCAGTTTTAAGAATTGTCTCTAATGGAGGTTGATTTTTTTCCCTCCTTTTCTCTATTGATAATTGATTGTTAATCAGGAGTTCCAGGCCTTTCTCGCTCTCTCTTTTTTTTAAAGGAAAAAGTGCTAATGCACTGGATTGTGCCACTGCAGTGTCAGAGCAGAAATACAGGTATACACCAGAGCAAGTTCACAGTTGTGGAAATTCAGTCATCCCTAATTCACTTATTAATGACATGTGAAGAATCAAAAACTGTTCACTTACTACCATGAATTTGACCTTTGTGTTATGTGTGTTTACACATAACAGAACCCTTTTGAAACAGTTGCTTTGGTAAATAGTTGATAAGATTCCAGTTTGATCCCTTGCCTTTCATAATCTACCTTGCTGTTTTTCTTTAAAGTATAAAATAGTTTCCTTTTTAAAAATTTTTGTTGATGACCCTCCCTGGTGGCGCAGCGGGTTAAAGCACAGCATTGAGAAGCTAAAGCCACTTTGCATGAGTTCGATTCCCGCCTGCCCTGGAGGTGACCACATGGTGTGGCAGACCTCTCCTGACCCGCCCGCTGCTCCCCTCAGCAGTGTACTTCGTCGATCTGCCTGTTCTGCTCCCCACTCTGTCTCTGGTGAAGCCTCTCGCTGCCCCTGAGCCTCTGGCCTGTACCCCCGTTCTGTATGAACAAATAAATAAATCTTAAAAAAAAAAATTTTGTTGATTTCTGACTATTGATAGGTTGTTTTTCCTTTCTTCCCTGTTGAAAAACTGGTGTAACAATATATATGCTCCTCTGTTACTACATAATCTGAGAGTTTTGTATAGAAAATATTTATGAATATACAAGCAATAATCATCTGTAAATTACTCTGGGGAAAGATGAAATCAGAAAGCATTATGAAATAAAATAAAAATTCCACAGTACATAAGAGCAAACAAACAACTTAGGTAGTAACTCTTCTGGCTTTTCACCATAAAGCAGAGAGTATTTTAAGATTTCACCTTTTCCCAACTGGAATCCCACCTTTCCTTGTTTCTTTATTTTTCTTCTGAAAAGATTACACAGGAGAAAGTTAAGAAGACTTGGACAGTTGTGGATGCAAGAACCCTGAGAAGAGAAGATATACAAAAAGAAACAGTCTACTGCTTAAATGATGATGATGAAACTGAAGTTCCAAAAGAAGATATTATTCAGGGTAAAGTATGCCGATAAGAATTTGCACATCTGCCTAACAGAGATTTTCTTCAAGGTGATTTGAGGCAGACTAGTGTTTGTAGTATTACCTACTCCATGTATCTCTCTGAGTTCCAGAGAGGTGTGATCTCAGGGGGCCCTGAGACCCGGGGCCTCAGCTCAGCTGTGGTGTCTGAGAGAGGAGAGCTCTGGGGTGTGCTTGAGCATCTGCTCTCTCACTCAGGACAGCACACTGGCCTTTTTATTTTGAAGTTTGAGACTTACTAACTAGGGAAATGCTTACATTAATGTGGCTGAAGCAAGTTTTTTTGTTGCTTATATCTTGTTTTGCCTTTCATGATGATAATTCAGAGTGCCAGTTTTAGGGCATATATCCTGCCAGTTATGTACACTTGAAGTAATTAAGGGGATAAGCATACTTATTTGTGTTTATTATATTTTTAGTGTTCAAAAGATTGTTAGAGTTGTGCGTTATCTATTTTTGCCCATTTGATCTATATTGTATGTCTAGATAGCTTCTCTATCCAGAGAGGTTAGAAGCTGAGAGTACCTGAAGATTCAAGAGCTAAAATTATAAGATACCAAAATGATGGTTAAGATAATAGCCAGGGCCTTTGCATAGATTTAATGCCAGTCTATGTGGCCAGTTATCATTTTAATTTACAAGCCTTGACAAAATGTCCTTTTATCTGTGGCCCTGAAATATCATGTGTTTGCATATGTTTATATGTGTTTTAGGGGCAGCAGGGAGTGAGTGGTTAAAGGTAAATAGTCCTTTTCTTTCGCTTGATGAATTATGTGTAGAACATAATTAATATCCTAAACTTTCTATCATCCTTCAGTTCAGTTCAGTAGTACCTGTACTTATTTTAATAACATGAATTCTGGGGTCAGACCTGGGTTAGAATCATGGCTCCATCACTTGCTAATATTTGATCTTGTCAGGATGACCTGCCTATAACAGGAAGAATGGCATGATGAAAGGTGCAGGACCAGGAAAGTACCAGGCCACCTCAGCGATACAGTCAGTTGGGTGGGTATAAGGGGCATATGTAGATTAGTATTCCAGGTTAGTATCTAACACACGGCCTTTTCTCTTTTAATCTTTATAACAATCTAATGAATTACTATTGTTATTTCCATTTTACAGATAAGGGACTTAAAGCCAAAGACATTCATTGATGTATTCAAAGTTATACAGCTAGAAACTAGCAGAACTTGAACCACGGCTGTCTTAACTTCAGTCTGTGTCCCTACATACTGGTTTGAAGTAAGCGAACTTTGAGTAATAGGCTGAAGAGTTTATGTTACGGGGGCTGTGTTTTAGAAAGATTAATATAGCAGGACCCTCCCTGGTGCTGCACTGCAAAGCTAAGCCAAGCCATGGCAGCTCCAGTGTGGGTTCGATCCCCACCCCCCGGATGATCCACATGGTGTAGCAGACATTTCCTACTTGCCCGCTGCTCCCCTCAGCAGTGTACTTTGTCAGTCTGCCTGTTCTGCTCCCCACTGTGTTTCTGGTGAATCCTCTTGTTGCCTCTGTACCCCTGGCTGTACCCCATTTTTGTATGCATAATAAATACATTTAAAAAAACAAAGATTAATATAGCAGCTGGATATATGATGACTTAAAAAGAGAAGGGATTAGATATCAGGGTGCCAATTTTTCTGGTTCTAAGCAGAGAAACAGATTGGTTGTCGAAGGCCAAAAGGACGTTTATTGGTAGAGCAATGGAGAGGGAAGAGTTAAAAATAGTTTAAGTTAGGGCTCTCCCTGGTGGTGAAAGGGATTAACGCTCAGCACTATGCAGCTATCACAGTCACCACAGCAGGAGTTAGATCCCCAGCCAGGGAGCTGACCCACATGGCGCAGCAGACCTCTCCTGATCTGCCTGCTGCTCCCCTCAGCAGTGTACTTTAGTCCATCTGCCTGTTCTGCTCCCCACTGTGTCTCTGGTGAATCCCCTCCCCACCCACACCCACACCCCCCACAACTCTGGTCTGTACCCCAGTTCTTGTAAGCATAAATAATTCTTTAAAAAAGTTTCCATTTAAAGAGCATACACCTGTATTTTTCTCTCATATTTTTGCAGTTACCCACACACTTCCTTTGCCTCTCCTCCACTTTACCCCCTAATATGCAAGTTTTCTTTCTTGGAGAGACTAGTATATGTAGGCAAAGGAATAGGATTGTATTCTAGTGTATCCTTATCCTTTTTGTCATACAAAAAAGTTATTGCTTTGTTCTTTAAATGAGCCAAGAAACTCAAGACAGTTTTAATTATAATTTTCAACACTCTGCTAAAGAATTCAAGTAGAATGTCTATTGACAGAAAAGTTAGAGAAGTCCTTAGGTTCATATACTGTTCTTAATCATGTGCCTTATACTTCCCTGTCAAGTTGATCTTGGAGTTTTTTAAAAAGACATAAAAATAGAATTGTGTTTCTTTTTCATTAAATCCATAGTAACAACAGATTGTCAGAAATAAACAAACATCAGATTATAGACTCTGCCCCCAAAACATACAAATCTCTTCGTTGATTGGAATAAAAATACATATACTTTTCCTTTCCATTTTACCCAAAGCCATAATCTCTGGATTTAGATGTTTTTCCTACTAGACATAGAAGAGTAAATGCTGAAAGGGCATGACCTTCCATATAGAGCAGAGGCCCTGAAACAACCAGGCTCTTTCTTGTTACTTTTTACAGAAGCCAAGAATAACCTAATAGTATGAATAACCTGACTAATTTAAAAGAAAGTAATAATCTAATTACAGGGAAAAATACATTTAAATGCAGAAAAATATCCAACTTATCAATTACATGTTTCTAAATAGAAGACTCTTCTTTGACTTCTTCTGTTTATTTGGTATTTATACATCTCCAGCATGCATTATTTTAGAACATTTTGTTCTGAAAATTTCCTATGGGCATTTTTCTCTGTGGTCTCCAGGTTTCTGAATAAATGTGTTCTTGTTATTATGTTTACACATCGTGCTTGTACTTTATTCAACTATGACTTATCTTTGGAGGATAACTAGTACATTGCATTTTCTACATTCTTCTAGACTGGATAGTCATTAAGGTAACTAGATTGTAGAAGATGCTACTTTAAAAAATGTAATTAGATTTTAATCCCCTCTATATTGTATATGTTGTCTGTGCATCTTCTGCTTCTTTTCCCCATTGATCATGAGGGGAAGTAATTTGATTCCAGGGAATAGTATACAGATAGAGGCTTGCTCTGGAGTATATGCATTGTTAATGTATGTGTAGGGCTGATTTCAGCTTGTGGAAAATGTGGTCCCATGTGTGTAACAGATGCTATTTTGTTCTCTAGGGTACCGCTATGGAAGTGATATTATTCCTTTCTCCAAAGTGGATCAGGAACAAATGAAATATAAATCTGAGGGGAAATGCTTCTCTGTTTTGGGATTTTGTAGGTCTTCTCAGGTACAGCACTTATTCTGCTAATTGTAAACAAAATAAATGAGCTTTTTCTTTATTATTTGAGATGGTACGCTTTTGATGGATCCTTTTATTTATAATATATATTTATTTCACTCAGTTTTTCTAAAATGTAATCTATGGTTAAGTGTTACTCTTTGGTCTTTGAAGAGAACTGTACTGTAGTGAGCCGAGAAGTGCAGGTTTCGTTTCAGGTTAATGTTTTTGTGTCCTATGGGTAGCTCCCTCTCAGTGGAGTTGTTGGGTCTGCGGTACTTTGGTTTGGTTTGACTGGTTTCCCTTCCTCCAGTCCTCTAATTGATTTTTGCCCAGGTCTCTTCCTGATTCATTAGTGCCTTGTCGTGCTCTTAGTATAACTTCCAAATCATTTAACATTGCTCTAACAGACTCTTAATCTGATATTTTCACTCTTGCCAATCCATTTTTCACCTTTCTCCTTACACTGTGCTGCTTAGCACTCTAAAAGCAGTTCCCCAAGTTTATGGTGTTCCTTTGTCATCCGGCCTTACTTTCACTATTACCCATGCTCAGGATGCTTGTGCCCAGTCTTTTCTCTTAGTTCATTCCTACACATCCCTTGAGTCTGGACTTAGGTGTCTCCATTTGAGGAAGTTTTCCCCGACCCCCCTGACCAAGCTAGATGCCTCTCTTAGGTGTTTCTATAGCACCTAACCATATTCCTTTATTTTTTGCTCTTTGCAGTACTATCACATTGCAGTTTATTTTGTATTTCTCTAACTGAGCTCCTCAGTACAAGACTATATCCTGTTCATTGTTGCATTTACAGTGCCTGGAACAATGTTTGACATATGTGAGATGCTCAGATATATAGTGTGTTGAACTGAAAATAACCTCAAGCAGTAGGTTGTTTCTAATATCTGAATATTTTTATTAAGAGCATTTTGACTAGAATTACCTAGTAACATGTGACATTGTGATTATATGTCTTGCTTCTTTTGGATAGAAACTAATTACTTTCCCTACTGTTATAGGTACACAGGAGATATTTTATGGGATATCAAGTACTAAAGGTCTTTGCAGCAAAAGATGATCAGGTAAGTTGACAGTGGTATCTGAGATAGTGCTACAGAATTGAATTGACATTTAGGTGAGTTGTTACATGGCTTTTTTATAGTTTGAAATGACATTAATTCTCACAAAACCATGGGAAAATTCACTAACCTTTAACTCTGAAAACGTAAAAAGAATAAATGAATTTGTCATAGTGTGAGCACAAGGCCTAAGAACATACTTCTGCAGTTGGAGACCAAGTGAGTATTGAAAGCATTTGAACAAACACATTTGGGTGTGCGAATCTCCTGGGTAAATGTTCAGGAGGGCTGGGGTCAGGTTGACATTTCCATCTTTATAAACACTGAACATTGACTCCTGCCTTAAGCATCCTGGAGATGAGTCTCACTGACTCATTGGATCACTTCTGTCATTGAGAAATTTTCCATCTTCTTTCTTTACTACTTTTCCCACCTCCCTAAGAGATTCTGTTTTTAGGCTGGTTTTTGCCTGGCTGTTAAACTCACACCTGCCCTCTTTGTAAAATATTTCCTGTTTAACCTGCAGATCAGGACCTGTTAATTCCCTGGAGCTGTTGATCCTAAATGAGTAACTACAGTCTAGTGTTTGTTTTAGACCTCTTACTTAAGTCAATCTCTATGTTCTAGAAGTATTTGCATTTGAAATTAGTAAACTGTAGGAGGATTGTTTGGGGAGTGAGGGGGAAAGGTAGTGGTGAAAGTGATTGAGTCCTCTTAATTTTCATTTTCCCATCACACCTGACTGGTAGCTGACTGTTGATCTAGTGGATGGGTATACCATTGTTTGTTTGGGGTAATCAGACTGGGGAGATGAAAATGCTTGGCTCCGCTCAGTACTGAATAGACTCACTAAGACACAAAGGTGTATGTGAATGTTCATATTTATAGTCCTACATTTCTTCTGAATCAACTCTTGTTGAGAATTGTGCAGTTCTGATATACGCTGTTAATACAACTTAACTGCATTATCACTTCTGCTGAAGTTTTTACAGAAAGAAAATTCTAATCACTTTATATGATTGCTGGTTACTCAGTGAAGTATATTGTATCACAAAGCTGGTGTTGAGGTACAGGTGATTATCTAAACTTTGTTAGCTAAGGGCAAGCTGATGGCCTGCGTAATTCAAATCCAGCCTCATGCAGACCCTGTAACTTTGAGGTTATTCAAAACTGAATAGCTAAGGGCTACCAAATAGCTAAGGGCTACTTTTTGGTGTTAATTCTTGATGTCATAGTCAAAGAACAGTAACCAATGGGCACTCAGGAAATAACCAGGAGAATAAGGAAACCCTTGTCATGTGGGGACTTCAGTAAAAATGCATGGAGAAGACTTGTGTCAGAGGACAGGTTAGTAGGAAGGATAACCAGCATAATGGCCCTTTTCGTGTTTTGGAGAATTAACCTGTGGAATAGATACTAAGGTATGTTTGCTACCAAATGGTAAATTGGTTCTGACAGGTGGTGGTTTTGTTCAGTGTGAATTGTTTTTTCAACAAGAATTACTGTCTCCAAAAGGATTAGCTACCTGGGCAGTGTCAGACTCCCAACCTAGTAATTTCCCAATTCCAAACAGTCTTTTTTACCACCTGTTGGATGTTGGGGTGGGAGTTCTTTCCTTCTGGGGGTTGTTAAACTAGAGAATACTGTTGGTTTCTGATTCTGTGATTAATTCCTTTCAAAATGTTTACTCTGGTCACTAGTATATATATATATAGAGAGATATTGTATAGCGAATTTATGCTTTTATGTTCGTATTTACACTGTGTGGAAGAGAGAGGAAGAAAGGGAAAGGAATTAATTTGAGTTTTTTACAAGGTAGTATTGTATTACAGTATCTATATACAATATCACTTATTACTCCATCCTTCTTGACTTTGAATAGCCCAGTTGGCCCTATCAAAGACACCTAAATAAAAAATTATAAATACGCATTGGAAGTAATCGCTTCTTTAGATTCCCATTGTGCTTATCTGCTCTCTTGAATGGGAATATACACATTCTGTATTTGGCATGTGTCTCATTTTTGCTAGTGAAGAATAGTTTAGCTCAGTGAGATCAGGACCTTATCTTTGTTTTCTTACTGGACCTAAGACACTGCCTACCAAAAAGTAGGCACTAAGTAAATATCCTTGAATCGAACTGAGATGGTATAAAATCTATCATGAAATCTGTGGAGGATCTTGATGGCAAAGTATTGAGAGCATAATATATTTTTTTAAAGATTTACTTATTTGTGCATACAGAACTGGGTTACAGGCCAGAGGTGCAGGGGTTGAGAGGACTCACCATAGATAGTGATCAGAATAGGCTGATCTAAGGAAATACACTGCCAAGGAGAGCAGCCTGTGAGGCATTAGCGGTCTTCTACACCATATGTGGGCTTGCTTCCCTGGCTGGGGAGTCAAACTCAGCCCACAGCAGTGACAGCATGACAATGCCGAGACTACTCCTGTGCCTCCTGGGAGGCCCCATTGGAGGTTTTAAAGGAAGAAATAGCATGATTAGCTCTATGAACAGGGTGTCAGTGTTTGATGGAAGAAAATAGGTAGATTTTAGAGATAGCAAAGAGGCAGAATTTGTAGTTGTGGAACACTTGAAAGTGAATGAGCAAGGTGGCACTATCAGAGATTTGGGGCTTCTGGGTTGTTTGAAAGGGAGGTGGTGGAAATGGAAGTTGGGAATACAGGAGGAAAAGGGGGGGTTAGTTTAGTTTGGGTCTTGGATAGGCTGAGACATTGGGGGTAAACCATGTTAGACAATGTAAGTCTGGATCTTGGGAGAGCTTTAAAGCTAAATATACAGACTTTATTCATCAGCTCACGGGACATGGATAAAATAATCCCCAGGTTTTAGAGTGAGGAGAGGAGAAAAAGGCTGTAAGTAGAATTGGAAGATGCATTGGAAGAACTCGGGGAGGAGTAACCCTCAAACTAAACTAATAACAGAAAATGTTTCTGAAGGTGAAGGAGAAAGAGTAGAGAAAGGGTGGGGAGTGGTGAGATGCTACAGAAAGGTCAACACGTAGAATGGGAGTGAAGATTTGGCAGCTGAGATCATAGGTATGACTTCAGAAGATGATTTCAGTAGGGAAGCGGGGCAAAGGCTGAGTTGCATTGTGCAAACTCTGGCATGTTGGGGATGTGCTGATGCTTGTACCTTTCTTACTAGGCAGCGGCGGTGGCTCTTTCCTCCCTCATCCATGCTTTGGAGGAATTGGACATGGTAGCCGTCGTTCGATATGCTTATGACAAAAGAGCCAATCCTCAAGTTGGTGTGGCTTTTCCTTATATCAAGGACACCTACGAGGTAAAACCCACAGCATTTTTTCATTCATGTTGCTATTTTTTCCTTCAGTTCCATTATTCTAAACCGTGCTTGTCAACTGATTATGTGCGTGGAAATTATTTCAGGACCTTCTTAAAATGCAGGTCCTGATTCTGTTGGTCTGGGGTGCAGCCCGAGAGCCTCCATTTCCACAGACTCCCAAGTAGTGCTGATGCTGCTGGTCTGAACCACACTTTCATTTGCCACTAAAGAACATAAATTATAAAAGTATGTAAGGAGCTTTGTATTAAATCAAATAAGTAAAGGTTAACTATGACCTTATGTTTGCTCAATCCAGTGACCTTCTCTTGGTTCTCATCCTTCATGATTTTTCAGAACCTAATGGGAATAGAGATTATCTCCATTTTTACAAATGGGGACTATGGATAAAGGTTGAGGGTGTGATTTTGTGATCCTTGTGAAATGCAGTTTATTTGGGCTCTGCTATTTAAAAATGCAGGTCTCGATTCCTCACCATTTCCTCTTTCTCAGAACTTACTGTGGCAGAACTAGAAAGAGAAGGCAAGTATCTTGACTTCTGGTCATCTTGACTCTTTCTTCATATTAGTCTTGCATCTTGCTGATATTCTTTGATAGTCTTTCTTTAGACATGTCTTTTATGTTTACATACTCAGATTGTTTACAGTTGTGTACAGCTATTAGTAGAAATAAAAATATTTTCAGTGTACCAGACTTGGTCTATCTAATCTTTTATCAGATTTATTTTTATTTATGCATACAAAAGCTGGAATGTAGGACAGACGATTCACCAGAAGTGGAGTGGGGAGCACAACAGGCAAATCTACTGAAATCCACTGCTGACAGGAGCAGCAGGCAAGACAGGAAAGGCCTGTTGCGCCATGGGGGTCACCCCCCTCGCCAGGGGTGGGACTTATGCCGCAGTGGCAGGCAATAGCTTAATAGCACTATTGCCTGCACCACCAGGGAGGGGGACCTATCTGACTTTAAAATACTTTTGTTGAGCCTCTTTCACAGCATTTAAGACTAGTTTTGTATTTTTACATTAATTTGATGTTTTTTGCTTTTACTCCCTTTCTTTCTCATTAGTGTTTGGTGTATGTGCAGCTGCCTTTCATGGAAGACTTGCGGCAATACATGTTTTCATCCTTGAAAAATAACAAGAAATACACTCCCACAGGTGAGCTTATTTCTGTTTTGTTCACTAATGGTCTATAAACACAGACTGTTCTTGGGAAATCACATGTCTGCAGGCAGTGGTTGGAGGCAGAATTTCATAGGGTAGGCTAGTTGGATTCCATTCGCACGTTCATGCTGAGTTATAATGAAGGTGATAGATTCATCATGTTTTCTCAGTAGTGGGGGTGCTGTGTAGTGCCCCCTCCTGATTTAGAGCCAATATCAGGGCGCAGCTTGCCAGAAATGACTATCCGTTGTCTAGTTGTGAGCAGGCTTGCGCCTTGCTGAGGTGGACTGATGTGCAGTATCAAGCCTGTGACTCTAGTGTGCTACATAAAATTCGATGTAACTTTGAACTCAGTGACAGTGGCGGAGATTTGACTTTTCTCTTTAGAGCTGACAGTATCAGTTCAACTCTCATTCCTTATTTCTGGCTTGCGGGAGTTACTTGGAGCTTGATGAGAAAAAGGCATTTATTACTTTATCTGTAAATGTGAGGCTGGTGCACAGAATGTTTGTCACAGATGTGGAGCCTGTCTTCCCAAGAGCTCATGGATAATGAGATGTAGACACATATATAGTGGGATGAAAGGAAGGAACATACTCCAGAACCCACAAAGTGATGATTGGATGTTTTGGCATACAAGTTTAAATCTGTGACCTTGTAGGACTAGGTAATTGTGAGGCGAGACTCAGAACTGGGTTCTTCTGCATGTTTTTGGCTAGACCCCTGTTTCTCCCAGACGGATCCATAGGGCTTGTATCTTTACCTTCCTCTGAAAATTAGTCTCTCTGCATTATGGTGGAGCCAAGTATGGACTTGAATACAGTGGTATAGAAGCTACCACTGTCTTAGAATATTCTGATTCTACTTCTTGAGAATTCCAAACTTAAAATGAGTACAGTATTGGAAAGAAAAGAACTCTGTTGAAAAATTATCTTACTGATGTAAATAATTCACTGAGGATCTAAAAAATTTACTATGTTTCAATTTGTTGAGTTAGTTTCTATTGGTTAATATGTTTTTGTTTGTATTTTCTCCATTGGAAAAATGTATCATTAAAACTTGGATTATTTCCCAAGTAGACATTTAGGTAGCTGGTACCATGCGAAGTGATCTGGCTTGATGATAGCTTGTAGTAGCAGATGAAAGTCATTGAATGTTCACACACAGACACAGATACCGCCTCCTGCCTATTGCCTGGTGGACCCTACAGTAAGTAGGGTGGTGATGAATGTCTGTGCCTTTGTGGAAACAGCCCCAGGAAAGTCCACAAATGGGATAGAAGGAATCTATGATAAATATTGATAGGCTCCTTCATTTCGCAACAGCTGTGCAAAGGGATATTTGAAAAGGTGACAAATAGAAGCGTAACACATCATTTAGGAGATACTAGCTTTTTTCCACTTTTTGCCTAGTAACTGTGAGTGACCCAAGAATAGCACTCCAACTTTCAATAGCTGGACTGATTCATGAATCAGGAGAATGAAAGTTTCACAGGGTAATTTAGGGGGAGGAATTTGGGGGAGAGTTTCCTGTCATCTTGCATTGGTTTGGGCCGTGCTGATTTCATTGACTTGGTAGATATTGTGAAGCACTTGCTTTCTGTTAGGCTTTAGGAGAGGATGAAGAAGAGGATGTCATGTTATGCTCTCGGGGACTTTTAGTTTGAATGGAGGGTGGTCAGACACATCTGCAGGTCTGCATATATGTGGTAATTAGGTTTTAAGAGGAAAGAGCTTCTTCTGACTTGAGGAGATTGAAGGAATCTTTTCACTTGTCCAATAATGTCCTGTTAAGTTGGTACAAGTTACATTAAGTCCTAATAAACCTTGTGCTTCATTACCTGAAGGTTTTTTCTTCTTTTTATAAATTGTTTTTTTTTTTTTCCTTTAGCTAATTATACTTTTTGAATGTTAACTCATCAACTTTTGAATACTTTGAATCACCACGTGGAAGTTGGGTTTTGTATGGTTTTGGTGCATTCCTCTGGAACAAGTTTTTTTTTTATGTGATAGTCCATTGCCAAAGGTTCTCAGAATGGTATAGCTGGGAAGGATCCGTGAGACTAGCTCTTTTTATAAGTAAGAAAACCCAAGACTCAGGATAAATTATTTGCATAACTAGAGAGTGTTCTGGGTAGATCCAGGACAGTATAATTTGCCAGCATGGCTGTCAAGGTCTGTGAATGGAAAGTGTTTGTTTTACTGGGGAATCATGGAGGTTTTCATATTGGATTTCTGTTTCTCTGTTTGTCCTTGTTTAGAGGCACAGTTGAGTGCTGTTGATGCTTTGATTGACTCCATGAGCTTAGTAAAGAAAGACGAAGAGGAGGATACCATTGAGGACTTGTTTCCGAACACCAAAATTCCAAATCCTCAGTTTCAGAGATTATTTCAGGTGAGAGAAGAAAGATGAATCCATCATTTTCTTTTTAAGATTATTTATGCATATAAGAACCAGAGTATAGGCCAGAGGTGTTTGTGTTGGGGGTGGGAGATGAAAAGATTCACCAGGGACAGAAAGGGGAGCAGAATAGGTGGATCCACTAAAAATACACTGCTGACGGGAGCAGTGAGTGAGACAGAAGAGGTCTGCTACACCATGTGGATTAAATTCCTGGCCATCCAGGGATCGAATTCATGCTGCGGTGACTGGTGGCACAGTGGTTAAAGATACAATGCAGTAAAGCTATTGCCAGTCATGTTATTTTGTTATTATTATTTTTTTTAATGAAATAGAGCTGAGGGAAAAGTAGGAAAATCGGGCAGTTTCAAACAAACTTCTTCTTTTCTGAGGTCCTCGGTTGCTCTGTCTATTCAATGGAGAATAACACTTTCCCTTCCTACTTAAAAAAAAAAAAATTAAATACTCAAGGATTTTAGAAGTAAAGTTTAGATATTTTCTAATTTTTATCTGGAGGAAGGTTAGTTAAAAAAAAACAAAACAAGAGGGGCCCTCCCTGGTGGTGCAGCAGGTTAAAGCACAGCATTAAGAAGCTAAAGCCACTTCAGCATGAGTTTGATCCCTGCCTGCCCCGGAGGTGACCACATGGCGTGGCAGACCTCTCCTGCTCCCCTCAGCAGTGTATTTCATTACTTGGTCTATTCTGCTCCCCGCTCTGTCTCTGGTGAATCCTCTAACCACCCCTGCTCCTCTGTCCTCTACCCCAGTTCTATGTGCACAAATAAATAAATCTTAAAAAAACAAAAAAAAACAGGAGCACTTAGTAAAAAAGTGTATTCTTTTTGTACCTTTTTCAGGCTTTTCTATTTTGTGTGAATGAGACTTATCTTTGTTTTTATATCCAAATATTTCCTATGAACTGTACATTAACATCACCACTGTTAAGAAGTATTCCAGTGGCACATTTGTCAAAAACTTCATGATTATAGGTCAGATACAGAGGTTATAATGTTATCACTGAGAAAACAGGGTAAAGCCTGATATGACAAGGGCATGAAGGCAGGGAAAGAAAAGAAATAAAAGAGGTCTGGTACATTAGAGTGAAAGTAGCTCCTTTTGAGTGGAGAATAAGCTCCATGGGGAAAATGATGGGAAGGGTGGTAGGGAACATAAATAGCAGATAGATTGTGAAGAAGCCAGTGATTTGGGTTTTAAAGGCAGTGAATAATCACAAAAGGACTTTGTCAGCAGCTGGTTGATGTAATTTTTTAGAAAATAGTTAAATTAAGCATGTTAGGACATGGGACATGGACTGGAAACCAGTTGGGAAACCTGGAACAGCCCACATGGAAGCTTGAATTAAGCAGTGGCAGACAGCGGAGAGAAGAAAAATGAGAAGGTAGAGTAGATAGAGTGTAAGGGATTGGCTGGTGGTTGATAAAAAGAGGAATTGAGTATGCAGAATCCTTGCATGGGTGACTCGGAGGCTGATAACACCAACAGTTACAATGAGGAATGAGAATGAGCACACAGAATAGGTGATTCACTTATTTGTGCAGGTGTCAGATTTGAGGTATCTATGGCTATCCTAGTATATACAGCCCACTGGAAGCTAGAAATAGATTCAGGGCCTAGGAGAGAATTCAGTACTGAATATGGAGATATGAACGTCCCCTCAGCTAAATAGAAAAAGAAGGGGAGGGTATCATCTGGGACAGGATATTGAGTGACGACAGAGAAAAGAGTTCTGAAGACCATGTGAGTGACAGGGGTTGCTAGAGAAAGAAGAGCTGTTTAAAAAAAATTTTTTTTTTTTTTTTGTTCCTGTCTCCACCCACCGAAACAAGTCAGAGAGGTAGAAAGAACTAGAGAAACTGGTGTCTTGGAAGGTATAAAAAAAGAACACCCAAGAGGAAAGAATCAGACTTGCACAACGGTGAATACGATGCCATGCTCACGGCAGAGAGCCTTTGGGCTTGGGGGAGTCTTTGATGACTTGGAGTCTCTGCCGCAGTGCAGTGAGGGTAGCCCTGTGATTAACAGGAGGCGGGACCCTGTGACCCTGTGAGAAGGATGTGGGACCTGGGAAGACTTTCCTTTTCTTTCATGTAAATAAGAAGTAATTATAGCTGAGAGTAGGGAGAGTAGAAGCAGGAAGAGGTTGATTTATTGGCAAGAAGCTAATTCTAATTTTGGAAAGTAGTGCTGAACAATATCTTCTAGCAAGTGTATAGTTAAACTGCCTAAACTGCCTTTTATATAATTGATTCTATATTGCTAGTACCAACTGCTTAGTAACTTAGGTGACCTGCAGTTTTTCTCTACTCTTTTTCAAATTATAAAAATCCCACCAGTGAGCAACAGTTGCTCAGTTGCATAAAAGAGAGGGAGATTGATCTTAGCATCTCAGTTATTAAAAAATGTCACTTTCTCATAACCTCATTTTAAAAAATGGATTAGGATTTTTTGATTGAGTGAATTTTGTAAGTATCTTAATTAGCCTTATTTAAAATGTGACCTTTGAAAAAATAAGAGAGGTTGATGCTGCTGTAAAACATCCCTTGTAGGTCTTACTGATGGTTGATGACATTGTTTAAAAGAATTGTCTAGAATTCATACTGACAGTCTAGAATGTTTTCAGTCAGGAGTTTGGGTAGGGTATTTGCTCATTGCTTGTTCTGTGTTTATTTTCAATATAAAAATATCAGTTGAGTATCACAGAGTCTCCCAGAGTTGTGAAAAGTAGTTGGTTGTGTTAGGTGTTCAATTACTACTTAGATCCTTAGGGCTTTGAAGTTGTTTTAGATATTTTAATGAACTGAAAGAGAGCTCTGTGAGCTAAAATTTATGCACAAGAAGATTGGAGGTAGATTCACAGAGTTTGGGATCATTTTGGTTTCTCCTTTTGCTTCACATTAAACAGGCCTGATGTTATTGATGCTCAAGGGAAAGTCAGGTAATTAGAAAAGAGGATAACAGAGTCAAACTCTGAAACAAATGAATATGTTATGGAGAAGGAAGACTGTGGTTGGTTGTTGAAACAAAGTAGCAGTGCAGGAGGCTTCTGGAGGAAATTAGTACTTAATATCTACTTCAGGGTTTTCTGAATTTGTAGAATGTTGATTCTTAGGTGATACTTACTGTGTAAGCCTAAGTATCTTTTAGAACTGAATCTTCCAACTTGTTCTCAATGGAATAGGAAAACAGCTCAACTTCTACACCTTACCATATGAAACAGCATTTCAAAATTGCAAGAGCTATTCAGCTCCTTCCTTATTTTTTTCTTCAGAATCACTAGTATGTATGTTGTCTCAGGGTGGGAATAGTAGAAGCCTTGTTTGCCAACTAATTTTGGGATTATTTGCTAACAAAAGAAGGGACATGTCAAGCCCTCCCTGGTGACACAATGGGTTAAAGTGCAGAACTATGAAGCTGTCGCAGCCTCGGCAGCACGAGTTTGATCTCTGGCCAGGGAGGTGACCCATATGGCGTGGCAGACCTCTCCTGGCCTACCTGCTGCTCCCCTCAGCAGTGTACTTTATGAACATACCTGTTTTGCTTCCCACTCTGTCTCTGGTGAATCCTCTTACACCCCGCCCCCACCTCTGACCTGTACACCAGTTCTGTATGCATAAATAAATAAATCTTTTTTTAAAAGGGGGGGACATGTCAATAAAATGTTTTTTTTAAAGATTTATTTATGCATACAGAAGTGGGGTACAAGCCAGAGGTGCAGGGGTGGTGACAGGACTTACCAGACACAGAATGGGGAGCAGATTAGGCAGATTGACAAAGTACACTGCTGTGGAGAGCAGCAGGAGGGTCAGGAGAGTTCTGCTGCGCCATGTGGCTCACCTCCGGGGCAGGGGATCAAACTCACACTGAAGCAGCTGCAGCTGGCAGTGCTGCATCCTAACCCGTTGCACCACCAAGGAGGGCCTTTTTTTTTTTTTTTTTAATCTATTTCCTTAATTGTATCTCATCCTATTGCTTACCTTCCTGTACTCCACTTAGAAGATTTACCTTTTTGAGAAAATACCAGCATCCCCAAAAGTAGTACAGGTGACAGAAGTGGCTTGCTGTCCAGGTTTCCATTCACGTGAAGCTGTGCCGGCCTTTTTCTTGGCCTCACTCTTGTTGCCGCATCCTGACACCTCTGACCACAAGGAGAATTCTGAGGAGCACTTTAGTCCTTCAGCCAGTGTCTGTTAGGGGCTTATTCTATGTCAGGCACTACTTTGTGGTTGGAAATCAGCAGCACACAAGACAAACAAAAGCTCTACTTTCAAGGGGAAAGTTTAGATAAAAGACAAGTAAACTGAAAAATTGTTAAGTTTAAATAATGGTAAATGCTGTAAAAATTGAGAAACAATGGTACTGACAGAGCATGACTGCACGGTAGGATGGGTGACGGGACTCGATATATAGTGTCAGGGGGTGCCTCACACAGTTTTTGAGCAAAGAACATAATAATCATGATGATGGTAATGATGATGGTGAGATGGTGATGATGATGATGAAAAAAGCCAGTGCTGTTGAGCTCTGGGGCAGGTGAGAGAGGCAGAAGGAACACTGTTCCTGGGACCAGAGGCTGCAACGAGCTGCACGTGTGAGCGAGTCTGCATGGGGCAGTGTGCTGGGTTGTGTCAGTAAGGAGAGTAGCGAGGGGGTCTCCCTTATGTGTGACTTTGTTAGATTTGTTTTACGATGACTTGAACCACAGCAGAACAGTGACATCAGATGCGGGAGACTGCAAGACTGCACTTCTGGTGGCAGCCCAACTTGGAGGGCTTGGTGCCTGGACCAGCGCGCTAACGGCAGAGATAGGGAGAAGTGGATGCAACTGTGGAGAAAAGCCCAGTCTCCGCCCTCGAGGGAGGCTTGGGACAGACCCAGCGTGCCTCTCTCTTTCACACCTTTTTCCTGGAACACACTGAGCTTGGGCAGCCTCCCTTCAGCCACCTGTTTCATCTACTTTATGTTATTTTCTAAGACTGAGCGAGGGAGAAAGCACAGTATGCCAAAAGGAAGCAAAAGGGACTATAATCGAAAAGTTAGAGTCCCAGATTGTCAGAGGCTTTTAGCAAAATTATGTGTCTTAGGGAACCTCACATGTTCTCCAAGTAGTTAAATCTGTAGCCTGTTTTTTAAGATGAGGCCCCTATCCAGGAGATCTCCAGCTGGCAGTGCGGCTAGACTTGGGTCTGTTTTACGGTGCTTTGGGCATGACCAGTGTCCCACCAGAGACCAGCTGCTGGGCCTTCCCTCTTTGGTCTCCTTTATCTTTGTTGCCACACACATAGCCAACCCAAGCTAAAAGTAGAGGATTCCCAAGCAGCTGTATGAGGACCTGTATACGATGTTTTAAAATCATTCTACTTTTTCCAACAGTGTTTGCTGCACAGAGCTTTACATCCTCAGGAACCTTTGCCTCCAATTCAGCAGCATATTTTGAATATGCTGGATCCCCCCATGGAAGTAACAGCTAAATGTCAAGTTCCTCTCTCTAAAATAAAGAGCCTGTTCCCTTTGACAGAAGCCGTCAAGAAAAGGGACCAAGTAACTGCCCAGGACATTTTCCAAGATAAGTGAGTACTTAGTGTGGTTGCCTTCGACAGTTTTGCACATAAAATTGGTGATAGTCTTAGAGGGTTCTGGAATTAAGTATTGGTATTGGATCTGTGGGATCACAAAGATACAGGAAAAAAAACCCTTTGATATTTGATTCTCGAGTTGAAAATACTAATTTTTTTTCTATTTGTTCATCATACTCCTATTTTATCCCTGCCGATCACCTAGGACTACTTAGAGCTTCTCTGGGCTTTTCCTCAGCATCACATTCTGATGCATTGTATGTAAGAAAGCTAAGCGAAGTTTTTTACTTGTATTCGAGTAAATACTGGGGATAAGAGGAAAGGTTAAACATTTAAAATTTTTTGTTGTTGTTTTTTAGTTTGAGAAAAGGTGTCAGGAGAATATCAGGGAGATTTTTGATGTAAAAGTGGGAAAGAGAATGAAAAATTTGTCCCTTTTCTAAGTTCTGCTATTGTTATACCAGTGCTGTTATTGGTTATACCAATAGTGAGTATTTATAAGTTAAGGTTTGTATGAAGCTTTTCATTTAATCCTTAAATCAAACTTTCATGTAGCTGTTTTGTTTGTTTCTCTCACCGAGTAATTCCACTCAAAGTAAAACTAAAGCAAATCAATTGTTCTTGATTATCTAGAATCATTTGGGTGTAAAACATTAATTTTGCCAGGTACAAGTTTTGTTATTGGTGACTTTTCCCCCAAATCAAAATTATGTGTGCATGAGTTTGAATTTTGAGGTCCAGTTTGAAGAAACTTTTTAACTTTTTTTTTTAATTTTTTGTTTTTTAAAAGATTTATTTATTCATACATACAGAGCTGGGGTACAGGCCAGAGATGCGGAGAGTGAGAGGATTCACCAGAGACAGAGAGGGGAGCAGAACAGGCTGATCTATGAAGTACACCGCTGAGGGGAGAGGCGGGCGGGTCATGTGGATCTCCTCCGGGGCAGGTGGGGATGGAACTCATGCGGAAGTGGCTTAAGCTTCTTAGTGCTGTGCTTTAACTCGCTGTGCCACCAGGGAGGGCCCAACTTTTTAACTTTTTTTTAAAGAAGAAATGTTCTCCCCACAGTTGTATCTTTATTGACAAAGTATATTCATAAATATCCCAGTGGAGGAGTATTAAGTAATTTCCAGAACTCTTCATAGGTTCTGAAAAACTGTTAATTTAATAAATTACCCTCCAAGTTGAACACAAAGCTTTGCATTTTCTGTGACTTTTTAGAGCTTTATTGAATTGTGTGCAAGATCACCAGGTGGGCAGGGTCTGTGTGTGCACCCCTGACATCTCCTGGGGTCTTACTGAGCTGGGGGGAGAGGGGGGGCGGGGCATTAGTCCCAACTGCCTGCTCTGTGGGCAGACCCAAGCTAAAAATCCATTCTGTTGCTGACCTCTGACATCTTCATCTTTCTGTATCACTCTAGATCAATATTGTAGAACAGTTCAATAAAATCCAAAGTCCTTTTCTTCCCATGACAGCCTTGCTTTAGTCTCACTGCAGTCATGTGGCTATTCTCTTTCTGTGTAGTAAAGCTCCAGTTCATATCTTGATTACCTTCTGGTGTTGTGGGAAAGAAATGGGCCATTTTCTCCTCCTTCTATCGATTAAAATGTAAATTAGTTGTTTAAAAAAGCACACCACATATACCCAGAAGGCTGTAGTCTGTGATTTGATCCCTGCTGTGATTACACCTCCAGCTCTGTCGCTACCACTCACTTCTTCAGGAAGCTTGAGTGTCCTGGGCTTCCTGTTCTTTGCTCCCTTTCTGAATTAGCCTGAGAATAATTTCAGTCACACACACCCACTCACTCATATTCCTACTCGCTACCCTTTCTTTCAGAAATCTTACTTTTTGAGAACTGCATAAATAGCACATCTAAGAGGTATTTAGTGAGTACCTCCTGTATGCAAGAAGAGTTACTCAGCACCTACTGCAGGGTGCTCCAAGTCCTCAGTGTTTATATGCTTCAGTCAGCTTTAGAAATGCTCTCACTAAGATAAACAAGTTGCTAACAGCTAGCAGTGGCGTGTGTAAAGTTAGCATCTCTATATTTAACTAGGATAGATATTTCCAGTATAGGGGTCAGTTAGGGTCTGAGATTGGAGAGTAGGCATATGTCTGTTCAGGAAGTGTCAGAGGCCAAGACGAGAGCTCTGAATTGGAAATCATAATTTCAACCCAGCTTTGTCACTCAATCTGTTTTTGTTTAAATAACTGTACTGTTATGAGAGTTTCTTCATCTAAAAACAGCCTGATATCAAAATATAATAATGGAATCGCAGTTATTAAAGCACTTTAAACTATTCACTTTAAACTATTTGAAGGAAAAGCAGTAGTCAAAACCCAAAGCAATAATAACATCAATAAAAACATTGAACATTTGGGAAAATCTAGAGTTCATGTTGAACCCCTGGTGATAGAAGTGACATTTCTTCACCTCAAGAGGATAAACGCACCTTCTGACATTATAGTAAAAAGTGCACTAAATTAATATTACTCTTACTCTACAAAAACTTAGTTTCTCTTAATGTTACTGGAAACTCTTGAAAAGAAAATGTCATTTGGACAGGGAATTCACAGAAGATTAGGACATTTGTGGTCTAATCCTGCTTATGCAATGAACTCATAGGTGATCTTGATTCTGTCTCTGTGCAGATTATCTAAAATTCTCTGCTTTTCTCCCAAGTCCCCAAGGACTCCTCCCCCTGTCTCCTAGAAGCCAGCCTTCCCTGGCTCCTGGTGAAGATGTAACCAGGCCTACATTGGTCAAAGTGTGTGGGTTCCCTTGTTGTCAGTGTGCCCTCAGGTCTTAGTTGCTTCTTCTCCCTCAGCCCCTGTATCCTCTTTGTCAAAAAAAAAAAAAAAAAGGATTATCTGTCTCACAGCGCTGTCAGTGTTATCATGAGAACTCTTGTTCCTAGAGCCCAGCACGGTGCCCAATATATGGTAGAAATACCGTGTTAGGGAAGAAAAGGTTCCTGAAGTCCTAGCCCTAGCCCTGATCCATGTGTGATGGCTTAGCAATGATGATGATGGTTTCGTAGAGAATACAGGCCAACAGAGGGACCACCCGGGTTTTCTGTCCCTGCTTCTTAGAAACATGTCTGTTGCATCCATCTTCATTTCCTTTTTTCCTGTCTCAGTGGAAGAGAGTACTTCATCCTGTCCAAGTTAATCTTTCCACTGATGTCCTGGGATGCCATCATTTTTTTCATCTGCTACTATAATCTACTAGTAATTTCTTTCCTTTTTCTATCTTTAGCTTCTCCCTCTGTACCAGCTCCTTTCCCTCCATACAGTAACATTTCGTTTCTTTCCCCTAGAACAAAATAAAATAATTCCTCTAGCTTTTCCCCTCTAATCACTACCTCCTATTGTCTTTTTTTCCATTTATAAGCCAGGCTCATTAGAAAAATTGTGTGCTCCGTTTGTTTTCCCTGCACTCATGGTCTTGCACTCCTGCCCCACTCTCCCAATTTGGTCTCCCAGAAGACTAGCTGCTGATTTCAACACTGTAGTTCTTTTCTTTCTTGACCTTTTTGACATTGTCAGTTCTTCTTTCCCTCTCAAAACTCATGTTCCCTAACTTCTCCAAGTTTTTCTTTTTAAACCTTTGATAGTTCCCTCTCAGATCCCCCAGGGGCTGTTTTTTCTTTCCCTGCCAGTTTTATATGGTGATGCTTTGCTTAACTCTTCAGAGAGAGAGAGATGGCTTTATTGTACAAGGTAAGGCACAGAATATTTTTCATACCTATCTGCTTGGATTCTCTTGGTCAGCTGATGAGATGGGTTCTTTTATTAAGCCTATCAGAGTGAGCTTTGAGAAGATGAGAAACCTGCTCGAGATCACAGCTTGTTGACTGTTGGAGTGAAGTTTTTTCTTTTTTCTTTTTTTTTTAGGATTTATTTATTTATGCATACAGAACTGGGGTACAGGCCAGAGCTACAGGGGCTGTGAAAGGATTCACCAGAGACAGAGTGGGGAGCGAAACAGGCCAACTGACACAGTACACTGCTGAGGGGTGCAGAGAGCGGTCAGGAGAGGTCTGATGCACCATGTGGGTCACCTCCGGGGTGGGGATCGAACTCATGCTGAAGTGGCTTTAGATTCTTAGTGCTGTGCTTTAACCCGCTGCTCCATTAGGGAGGGCCCGGAGTGACGAAGTAAATGCAGGCTGTCTGACCCTGCAGCTTGTGCTCCCAGCTGTGACCCACGTTGCCTTCACAGTGCATGTCCAGCCTCTTATTAGTTGTCACATACAGGTCTTCGCAAACTACTTGGTACCTGTCTACCCTAGCCACTGGGCAGCTAAAGACATCTGCAAACACCTCCAATCAGCATCTTTCTCCTTCCATATTCCTTTCAAATCGCTCTGCTATTCTGATATTTCAGTGAATGCAGCCTCCTTTCCTAGAGTTCGTCACTTTTCTTTACTTCCTATATCTAATTAACTTACCAGGTTGAATGAGAGTTATCTCAAACCTATTCCCATCACTTTGGATTGGCGTAGTAGCAAATGGCATTGATTTTGGAGTCAGATCCATTTATCAAAAAATCCAAGATTTTCTCTTTAACAGTGGTTGAAGTTGACAAGTTGCTTTGTCAGGTGATAACAAATGCATGCCTTTTAGGAGGTGCTGTAGAGTACAGCATGGGTTTAAGAGTACAGCATTGGTTGTGGACCCCATCTTTCCTGTATGTTAACAGTGTCAAGCCCTTTTGAGACTTGATTTTCTTGTTTGTAAAAGCACAATAATAATAGCTCATTCATAGGATTATTCAGCGGTTTAACTGAGATATTTTAAATATGCTTAGCATAGTGACTAGTGCACGGTAAGCATTAAAACAGAAGTTAGCTCTTACTCACATTGCCCACTACCATTGCTTTTCTGTAGACATTTTGTATCCTAGATGTACTCCAAAACTGATTTCCTCATTCCAGTCTTATCCTTTCCAGTCTATTCTGCATTTTGCTGCCTAAGTGATTTTTTTAAAGATTTATTTATACATACAGAAATGGGGTATAAGCCAGAGGTGCAGGGGTGGTGAGAGAATTTACCAGAGACAGAGTGGGGAGCAGTGCTGAGGGGAGTGGCGGGCAGGTCAGCAGAGGTCTGCTGCCCTATGTGGGTCACCTCCGGGACAGGGATTGAACTTGCACTGAAGCGGCTGTGGCTCGCTTGCAGTGCTGCTTCCTTAACCCGTTGCACCACTAGGGAGGGCCACCTAAGTGATTTAAAAAGAAACTCTGGTCACATCACTCTCTTCTATAAGATCCTTTTATGCAATGACTTTTGACCTGTATGTGTGTATGAGAGAGAGAGAGAGAAAGAGAGAGAGACGGAACCTTCCAATAAAAAACTATTTTACCCTTTCCCCAGGAAAATGTCCCAACATCCATATAGCTTAAGAGGTTTCACATGTTCTTTGAATTCATCCTTGGACCTTGATTAACAACTGTTGCTTTCATGACTTTCTGTTGTATTTAGTTTAAGACTAAAGTCTGTTACACAAATGAGAAGCCCCAGATAAGCAGAAAGAAAAGTGTGTGCTCATAATCCAGCTACCTAGAGAATCACTTTCTCCTCACCATTTCTGTGGTTCTAATTTAGGTATTTTGTTCCTTTACCCCTCTAAGTTCCAACTAATACTTCATACCTTAGCCAGTCTAATACAAGATCCTTGCTATCCTCTTCAATGGATATGTTGCTTATAACAATATTTTAATTGCTTGTTTATATATTTATCTTCTTTATTTCACTGAATTTCTTGAAGATGTTGATGGTGCATTAAATTTTGTACATCTAGAGTTAAGAGCCTATGTTAGTGGCCAACACAGTCAATATTGAGTAAATGTTTGGCTAAATAAATGAATTACAAAGTGTGTACATATTTATGAAGGGAAAGGAGAAAAATGAACAAATTACCATGGTCATATCATCTTAATGCAGCAGCTGTTCACATTTGTATGTCAGCTGCGGTCTTGCGTGGATCATTTCTACCTCCCGGGGCTCAGCTCCTTCACAGATCATTTGGGGATGAGCCATAGCCCTTTCTCACTTCACCCAGACATGATACGCGTAGAATATATGTGAAATTCCTAATGACACTGTTAAAGGATTCAACATAGAGAATACTAACTGCTTGAAATTTTTACTACTTTTGTCTTATTTCTGGGTATATTTTTACCTGCCCAATTCTGGAAAATTGCATGTATGCATATGCAGTTGTATGTATGTCTCCTTGTCGTCTCTTCCTTAGAACCTTTCTTAGAACCTTCCACACTGGCCCATCTTGCGGATCATCTATCTGTTTCACCAGACAAAGTTCCATACTCTTAACAAAGTCTTTCCCCCATGTGCTAGACATATGTTTTAAGAAATTCTTCAAGTCATTTAATCTTAAATACCTACAGAACTTAGCATAGTGCTTTGTATCAATGTGTAGTGTATCATAATACTGTATAACTTAATTTGTATTTTTGGAAGAGTTTTGATGCTTTTCATCAAAAGGGAGCTCAGAGAGGATAGTAACTTACTAGACTCTAAATTCTAGATAAACAAAAGTTAATGTGCAAGCAATACCTTCAAGAAAGTGTTAAGATTCCAAGACTCATCAGTGGCAAAGCTGGGACTAGAACATAGGCCTTCTGTCCCCAGATCTTCAGCCAGTACCGTGGTATCTGTCTTTTGGGAATAACTGGCAAAGGTTAACTGAAATGATGGTCTCAAATTCTTTTTTTTAAAAAAATGATTTATTTATGCATACAAGAAGTGGGGTACAGGCCAGCGATGTGGGCGTGAAAGGATTCATCAGAGACAGAGTGAGGAGCAGAACAGGTAGATTAACCAAAATCCACTGCTGAGGGGAGCAGTGGGTGAGACAGGAGAGGTCTGCTGTGCTTGAGCTGAGCTTGAGCTGCAGTGATTGTGGATAGCGTCATAATACTACACTTTAACCCCTTGTGCCACCAAAGGTCCCAATTCTGATGGCATTCTGACTTACTTGGGTTTGTGCATTTTTCCTGTTTTGCCGTTAAGACAAACAGAAAATGATTTATTTTTTCATTGTACTCAAAGGAAAGCATCCTGGATAACTCACCCCATTAATATTTCCTGGTCTCCATTCTTCTGCCTTCTACTTATCTTTTTTTTTTTTTTTTTTTTCATTTCTTAAGGGGAAGAAGGCAAGTGATAAGTGAGAAAGATAACCTAGTAACAAAACTTTTAATTCATGTTCTTAGGGTCTCGTGATTACTTCAGCTGTATGAGGAGATTCGTTATTAAGTGCTAGTGAATGAGCCAGAATATGGCATGTTTTTCTTTGCTTTATATTTCAAGCCTCATTGCTTGAAGGTTGCTTTTAACAAAAACATGTCACATTTAAAAATACTGGATCTTAGTTACTAATTTCTCTCCTCATTCAGTCATTTCTTGACAGCTGCTTTTGACAGATTATTTGGGAGAAGAATCTTCATAGCTTTATGTTTAGTAGCTTGAGGGAGATTCTGGACAGATCTTTTGGATTTGATTTTCTCTCGATTGCAGTTGACCTCCTCTTGACTTTAAGGCAGGCTGTTAAAGTCATCTGTTACCTGAGGGAAGGTGTTTGACACACTCTCTTGGAGTCCTGTCTCCCTTAGCACCAAGATGCTGTTGGACTCTGTTAGCATATTGTCCCAAACAGAGTTGGGTTTATAAGAGTACAAATTAAAAGTTTTCTCTTGGAAGATTTTTTTTTTTTTAATAGTTGAAGACTTCTGAAAGAGCAAGCTCTTGCATATTTAATTAAAGGTTGTCTAGTAAGTTTTGACAGCCATTAAGTAGCAGCTTATAAAACTCATATACATGATGGAGAAGATGGCTTATTAGACAAAAAGGCTTCCATGTATATGGAAAGCTAATAGCTATCAATTCTGAGACAGAAATTAGCAAATAATTTCTGAAGGGTAAATGGGTTTCTTCTGAAATGTTAAGTTTCCATTACCTGTGCTTGCAGTTCATCTTTTGAGAGAGCTTTGTGATGTGACTGCTAATTATTATTTCTCCTCTGCTGTGATTCCAGGCCAGGACCACTCCAGCCAGCCTGTTGGGGGCCCTGAGACTGGCGGGGTGGGGTGGGGGGTGGGGTGGCTGCCTGTTAAGAAAGACAGTTCTGAAGTTTATTTTTGCCTCTTGAAAAATAAATTTATACTTTTCACATCAGCAGTTTTGGGTTTTGTATTTTTTGTTTTGTTCAAAAAGGAAAAGCTAACGTCTTTCTTTTCCAGCCAGGGAGAAGGACCCATCTCTAAAAAATTCAAGACTGAGGAAGGGGAAGCGAACTTTAGTGTCTCCAACCTGGCTGAAGGCCACGTCACCAGCGTAAGCAGAGCTTTCTGGGGTGCTTCCCTTTTCGGGGGTGGGGGAGACTGCGTGGTTTGTCTGTCCTTTGACATGTCCCTTTCTGGCCCTGTCTCTGTACTGTCCCATACTTCTTCCTTTAGGTAGTCATTGTCAGTGAGTCACACGGGATTGTCTGTATGATAAACATCACATAGCGCCCCAAATGTTATGTAGTATGTGGAGCACTTTGCAGAGGTATTTTTTGGGGCCTCATTTCGTGGTTTTCTGCTGGTCAGAATAATAGGATAAGTGCGGCGTGATAATATGAGTGTCAGTTTCCGGGTCTCTAAAATTTAAGAGTGTCTTTCCCTTCTCTTTTCTTTTCAGCTTAGGATTTCTTCAAATCGAGTGTCTTTTGATACTTGAGATAATTAGTACTTAATGGGAAAGTTTGGGAATGTGAACATACAGCCTTAATTTATGTGACTTTTACTTTGAAGAGATTCTAAAAATTGTCCTGTACTAGCAAAATAAGGTAATAGTCAACACTGAGCCATACTCTTTAAAGAGAAAGGTTCTCAGAAAAACTGAATGTATAAAAAGTAATTTAGAGGTTATTTCAATGTTTTATTGTAAAGGGGAAAAAATCATGGCCTGATTGATTCTGAAAGCTTTTCTCACTGCTGTACAGAACAAAGTGGAAACTTTAGTACATTTGGTACCAGAGCTCATCAGTCACAATAGAAACTCCTGATTTTATTGCCTATTAGCCAGGTGACCCTTAGACCCTCTTAAGTCTGGGTCCAGGACATTGAAGATCATAAAGCACCTCAAGTGTGGTGGGGTTTTTATTTTTGGAACTCTCCCACCTAGCTCCCCAGTAAATCTTCATACATGTTCTCCACTTACTCGGCGTGTTCAACTTGGGCATGTTTTTTGTATATTCTACGAAACTTTAATGCCAAGAGTCCGCAGCAGTTTCCCCAAAAAGAGCGGTTCAGCGAATCAGCCTGTTAATTCTCATGTCTTCTTAGTGGGGCAAATACACTGTGAAATGGCCACACGCTGAACCCCCTCCTTCACCTCCCCCATCAGTGGGTATCAGAATGCTCCACAAAGCGTGTGCTCCGTGAGTCATTCAACCGGGGCCAGTTGGTGACTTGGGTTGTGATACTCCTGACCCCTCTGAAAGGAAGTCAGCTTATGTGAAGACAAGCAAGTGAAAGGATAGCAGCAGCTGTTTGGCTGCAGAAGTCTGCTAGCTTTTAACAGAACCTTGGAAATGAAAATGAAAGGGCCTTCCCTTTATTTTTTCTTTATAAGCATACACTACATTAAGCCATCTTGTACTGCCTGGGGTGCTGTCACAAATAGAAGTCATCTGCAGGTTTATTGTCTGTGGGTTCTTTCTAGGTTGGAAGTGTGAACCCTGCTGAGAACTTCCGTGTGCTAGTGAGGCAGAAGAATACCAGCTTTGAGGAAGGTGAGTGAAATGTTGTTGGCCCTGCTATTACACAGTCTAGATAGATTCTAAGTGGAGCTGTTTTGTCATGCTCTGGGATTTTCTCTCCTGGCGTATCTCTGCAATCATCCCTTATTAGTGAGCTCACTGAGGCAACGTCAGAGCACATGAGTGGAGACTCAGGACAGGTCTGCCCAGGCCTAGGAAGAACTCATGTACAGGCCTCCCTGTTAGGAAACTTGTGGGTCAGAACCCTGGAGGTATGGGTACCATTCATTGAAATTCTTTGGGGCTTGTGAGTTTGGAATAAAACATGTGCCATATATCTTTCTGTTTCAGAGACAAATCACTCTTGTTCTCAGGCCTAAGAGTTTGAGCCCCTTTACGGTACCTGTCATAACCTACATGCCATTAAGGCGTCACTTGCCCTTGTTATTGTCACAGGGGATTACTTCTAATCCCCAGTTCCATGGCATAGGGGCAGCCATTACGTTTCCTAAAATGTGAGCAAATTCTCAGCCTCTTTGTCCTAAAACATGAAATAATTCAGATGACAATGATGAAGGTGCTGTTTTTTCTTCTGGGTGTGTCCTTTGCTCTTCCTGTCAATGGGACATGGCCTGGTAAACGGCTCTGTCCGAGGCTCAGCAGGTTATGGCTACCTTTGGGCAACAGCACAGCAGCTGTAGACTTCTGGCTGGGATCCTCACACTGAGTCGTAAGCTCCTCCAGACCCGTGCTACACACTGCAGATGACTAACTGAACAGTTGTGGGGTTTCCAGACCTCTAGACATCATTATTTTCTCTAAAGGCCAAGAAGTTGGGAAAGGCCTGTACCTGCATTAACATAAACATGCATCAGAGGCAGCTCATGGAGCCCTCACTCTGGGTAGCATTAATGCCACAAACGTTGTTGTCTGCAGAGTCCTGTAGGATTACAGCTGTCAGCTGTCTCTCTTTAAAGGGTAAATGAAAAAGAATTTGAAGATAATCAGGTGAATAAACATCTGTCCCAGACTTAATGTTCATTTCTGGAAGCTGTTTTAACCCAAAGCTAAATAGAATTCTAGGTTATATCTGATAAGAAACATGTGAGGATATAGTTCATTTCAGAAAGATCAATTCTAGGGGCAGCAGCAAGGTCTTGCTGTGATCTTAGCTCTCCCACAGATCTCTGCTTAGGGTAGTGGGGAGCGAGCCCTTATATTTTCTCCAGTACATTTACTTTTAAAATTTGCCAAAAGTGTGATCAGTGATAGTTAATTGGTAGTCTGCCTTATCCTCAGGTAGAACCCATCCTTTCATCCATTGTTAGAAACTAAAATATGGGTATGATTTTGTTCTGTCTATCTCAATAGCAGTTTAGTCGTCCTCGGAGTATTGTGATTCTAACCCTTGACATCAGCAATATGTCATAGGCAGTGACACATTTATTATCTTCTGGTTTTCAGTATGAGGGAGCTTCCCTGACCTGAGCTTATTGGCATAAAGGAGATAACTAACTCTGTGAACCTCATGAAATGTGTTCTATCTGGCTGCTGATGCTTCTGAAAGCTGTCTTTGATTGTCTGTCTGGTAGCTTTATTTTTCTGTTCCCTTTTTCCCTCCCTTCCTACACACTCCATCACTCTCACTATTTTTACAATAGAAAATTTCTTGGCCATGGCTATATATTTAATAATTATTAATTGTGATAGTAGGGTTGTATCCTTCCCCTTCCCACACACACACAATATTCATAAACACCTCAGTACTATTATCTGTGATATCTGTTATATGAGTTGTTGGAAGACCCTGAGTTCATCGTAACTCCTGGAATGGAGGCAGTGAACTCTGCCAGCTATTCAGAGCTTCCAGGAAGGTACCCCCAAGATTTTCAGATTCCTTGTGCTTTCCTTGCTTTTACTTAGGAAGTATGCCAAAATGGCCCAAAGTAGACAACAGATTTGGGAAGATAATGCTCTAAATAAGACTTAATGTGATTGAGGTAGGGCTAAACTTAGTTCTCGCAGAGTACGAGAGAGTATGTAAAATAGCTTGTCACTGGGGTGTCAAAACCAGGTTCTCTGAGGACCATAAAGCCAGAGAAGATGACTCTGCGGAACAGTTAACAGGATGGGATGTAATGTTTTGTGATTTGAATAGATTCTCATCCACAGACCCTGTTTTTGCCACTTAGATTATACATTATAGGCTCTTCTTCTTTTTTTTTTTTTTTTGCATACTACTTTGTTGTTTTTGTTTGTTTGTTTTTGACATCATTCTTCATTTTGTGCATTTTTTTTTTTCCATCTTAGTTGTAGTCCCATTGGGCTTCCCACCACCAATTTCTCACAGAGACAGGGTAGCAGTGTTGCATTCCACTTAATGGAATTCACATAAGCATGCTTGTTTCAAAACAAAACAAAACAAAACCAAAAAACCTTTGAAATTATCCTAATGTCTGATGTCCAGTGGTATGGACTCTTACTTGGAATGGCTGTTTGCATCAGAGTTATGTACAGTGAGAAATCATGTGCACACACCTTTTTAATGAGATGAGGAGCACTTTAATATGGTGACTAAGGCATTTATTTCACTTGTATCTCTTTTTCTTGTGAGATTACATCTCATCATCACGTTTTTTTTTTTTTGCCTTTATTCTCCAACTTACCTTACTCATATTCATCAGACAGCATCCTTTCAACCTAAAGGGAATTTCTTAGAATTCACTTTCCCACAGGAACTTCAGCAATACGTAGAATGTGGTATAATTAGTAATTTTCATTGAAGTCCAGTAGATTCTCTTTTCAGTTCTGCTTTTAAAAGGAAAGTACTGTCTCATTTGCACAGCAGTTTACCTACATAGATGAGATAACCTTCTGCCAGGAGTCAAGCCCTAAGCTGTGAATTCTCAAGAGCTGAAGTCTAGGAGGAATTTTATGTGTATTTATGTGTGTTTTCTTAATAGACCCTGATTTGTATGTAATGTTTGGTATGAACGTAACCTATCTTAGTTCTTTCCAGATAAAAATATGGCCTTTATCTATTGTTTTGTACAGAGGTAGTAAATTGAAGAAAAATAAGTTCTGTCAGATAGCTTAAATATCTTAAAGAATGATGCTAAATATGTACTAGCTAAAATTATATCCTCCTTAGCTCCATAGAAGTTTTACTTTGTTTTTGAGACTTTGACATACCTTCTTATTACTTTTCCAAAATATCAGTGATACATTTGATCACAAGAGAGAAACTCGTGATTATAGATTATGGCTCCTAATGGTTTAGTCTAGACTTCTATACTTTATATGTTTTTTATTATATAACTCACTTGTTCTTCAGTGAATCTTTTTGTGCCTTGTTTAGTGTTAAATACCAGAATCTGATGATCCAGGCTTATTTACTGCTTCATTTATTATTGATAAGTTCACTTGAAAACAAAAATCAACTTATTTGGAGTTTTAAAGGACACCTGCTTAAAGGAAGTGTTATCATTTGACATGGTGACATCTGTTAGCAACCAAAAAAATCTTGCTTATCTTTGTGTGGGTGGATTGAAGCCCAGAGTAGCTAAGATGATTTTTTGTAGATTATTGCAAATGTGTGGACAACACTGTTGCATACTTCACAGAGGGCCTCTTGTGGCTTTAACGTCGTCATTGCTTGCCTACATTTCATTAGATGGCAAGGCATTACCCTGAAGTTTACATTTTTTTTTTAAATATTTATTTATTTATTTGTACAGAACTGGGGTACAGGCCAGAGATGCGGAGGGTGAGAGGATTCACCAGAGACAGAGTGGGGAGCAGAACAGGCAGATCGACAAAGTACACTGCTGAGGGGAGCAGCGGGCGGGTCAGGAGAGGTCTGCTGCGCCCTGTGGTCACCTCCAGGGCAGGCGGGAATCGAACTCATGCAGAAGCGGCTTTAGCTTCTCAGTGCTGTGCTTTAACCCGCTGCGCCACCTGGGAGGGCCGAAGTTTACATTTTTAATATTATTAAACTCACCAAACAAGTAATTAGAATGAAGTCATTGAGATGAAGATAAAAAGAAAAAAATTAGAAAGACATGACAGAATCCAAAGACCATCGTACACATATAACCACTTTAAAAGTGTTTTTAGTTTTCAGCAGCCCTCTCAAAAAGACTTCTAATTTGTTCTTACTTAGCTTCTAAAAATCTTTTCAAGTTCCTGTCAATCTGTGGATCAGAATATCTCTAATTGCAGGGTATGGCTCTTGTAAAATGTAGCTGGCTATCCAAAAAGAGAGACAACTGGTACCATAAAAATAAAAGCCTGTTTGCTGCTGTTACATTCCCAGTGAGCACTAAGGTTTCTTCCCGAGAGCTCTAGGGAAGTCTGAGTGTAATATACACCAGTATTCCTGTTTCTTAGAGGGTTTTGTTTTCTTGTGCTAGGTGGTAACATTGCTCACCTTAAGCCTGTGAGTATTTTTCCTTTAAAAATGGAAAAGATATTTTTCCCTCTGGCTTAAAATGTGGACTTCATAAGAACACTTTCCCTGCACCAGAACAGCTAGAAGAGTCCAGGGTTTGTTTATTCAAGCCTGTATTTAACACTTGCACTGATGACCCATGCCAGCAACAAGCAAAGCCGGGCTTCAGCAGCCTCTGATGGAAAGGCAGGCCCAATGGGGGTGCTTTGGAGAAAGGGTCCATGGGGCATGTCAGCCAGCGTGCTTGCAGTCCATGCTAATGAGAATGATTTGTGAGGCAGAGTGATGGAAGTACTTACACATGGCTCTTTGGTTCTTTCAGTCTCCTATAAATCCTGGGCTCTTCCTTGCCTGGTGAGTCTTTGTCATGTGGAGCATTGTACTTGATTCTCCTTGACTGGGACTGCCTCCAAGATTGCTTCTTAAGCCTAGCTGGTTGAAAAAGGAAACTGATTTCAGATTGTGCTGATGTGCAAACTACTTTAATCAATGACTTAAAGTGACTGCTCGTGGCAAGCAACAGAAGCTCTTAACCAATTAAGATGTTTAGGAAAGGATGGTAGGCTTTTGTTAAAATAGTCAC